AGTAGATCATTGGCCTAAACGAAAGGCTCTAGGAGCCTTTGCAGCTATCAGCCAGCTGACGCTCTGAACGAGTTCGCAAATATTTATTGATTCGTTGTTAATGGCTGTACAAATTCCATCAACATACAATTGAGGCTCAGCGAAGTGTATTTCTCGTGAGGTCACCTACCTCGTGCACAATGAAAGTTGAGCAATGAGAATTACTGAAATTTTTAGACGTATTCTAAGACATGTCGACATCATGGCTACCAACGAATCATCATGCAGAAAATACTTTTTTTTTTTTTCTGGAGAAGATACATCCGCACCAGCGGTGCGCATTTTTTTGGACTCGACTCAGCCCACAATTTTTTTCAGTGCGTTTGTGCCATTCGATTAGTAAAGATCGTGCACCGGCTGAAATCTCAGTGGGTACAGCCTTTATAGTCGGCTCAGCTGATGGTATTTCTGCAGCCGTTCAGTATATGCATTGGCATCAACAGCAGCAGCAGCAGCAGCAGCAGCAGAAGCAAAAACAACAATAATAACGACAACGGCGACGAAGTTCAACGAACAGTCATCATGGTCATCACCATCATCATTGTCACCATCAATATTATCATCAAGTTCCGCGCCGAAAAGGCTGGCTTCATCAAGCTGTGCGAATTCGCAGGAGGGAGAGAGAGAGAGAACGAGAAAAGCCTTCTGTTGGACGGTCGGCGTACACTTGCGTCCCTACTTCGTCGTCAGCCGATGAGCGTCGGGCAGAAGCCAAACGAAGCTGGCCAAATGCAGATGTAGAAAGCTAGAAAGAGCTCACGAATACGAAATGGTAGCGGCAACGAACTGATGACGAACTAAAGAATATAGAAGAGAAAAAAGCGGAGATGATGTGCCGCCAAAAGCGCTGAAAGCATCGCACAATGATGCAGTGCGCCTAGCTGATTTGCTGGCTGATTGTCGTCAGTGGACAGTACAGCGACAGACGGTCGAGCCAGAGTGATACCGTTCACAATTCGACGAAAGGTCCGTTTCTGCATTAAGGTCTGCTTCTGTGGCAAGTAACGAATCCACCTGACCGAGGTATCATCGTCATCTACAGTGGCTCAACGTCTGCGCTCCCTGGTGCGTCTCCGCTATGGCAGGTTGCGCCCAGTCTCGGTCTGTACTTATTATACACGACGTGATTGCCAGCTAAAAAAGTGAGGTCAACGATTTTAGCTGAGACGGACAAACGGTCGTCAATGCCAATGGCAAAGCAATTTTTATTCATAGATGAACGGCAGACTGTAAACGTGTTTAAGCGTCTACCTAGCTCGTTACAAGTAACGTACTATATTTTGTTACTGGATGAAACCCTTGGATAATTACTAAACGTTTTTTATATTCCCGACAAGCTTACCATGTCTGATATGTTGAGATTGGTTAAATGAATTGTAAAGCAGTGATTGATTTGGCTAGCAATATGCGTCAGCGAACCAACTGTATCTTCATGTGATGGCCTTAAGCAAATGATTTTTCAGGATACTGTTGCCAGTGGAAATTCTGTTCGATTCTACTGATCAGGATGCATTTATATTACTTTGTGTCGTGCTGAAGAAGGATCGATTCTTTTGGCTTAGCTGCGTGCCATATATGCACGTGTATATATGTGTATAGCCATATAACATCGGCTATATATACATACGCATTCATTATTGAAGTAATTTGCCGATTGTCTGCTAATAGATCTGAGTACAGCTTGATCCGATTAAGCGGCCGCTGCAGTAGTTGGCGAGAAGACACCCTTTCGGAGGTAAAAAAAAAAACAGAAACAGCCTACTAGCGAGGGATTGAGGACCAACACGATCACCGTAGCAAAGTAAAACAAAGTTGTGTGTTTTAGCGTCTTAAACAGAATATTCACTTCCTTATATAAGTAACGATATTTATGTTTAAAAAAAGAAAATATTTTAAGAATCAATACACAAGCTGACATTTTAACTGATACTTGTTCGTGACGGTCGTAATACGAGTTCCAGGCTAAGCACCCCGGGTCCTGGTGAGCGAGCTCAGACCGAAACAGGGCTGATATAGTTTGCTGTTATTCCCACTCACTGGTACATTTTCATAGTGCGGTTTGCTAATGGAGGTAGCCACCTCGTAGTTAAACCAGCGAGCACACTCAATGGAAGCCTTTGGTAACAGGCTTAGCGAGCGTTTTTCCGTACATTTTAGATGAATGAAGCCTGTTATCGAATGATATCCAGATGCTATAGGCTATAACGGTTAAGATGCATACACAATAGAAGTGCCCTTGAGATTCGTACGTCGATAACGTTGTCGTTTGTTATTCTGATGGACCGGGCTTGTTGTCGCAAAACATACAAAGAACCTTTTTTAAGAAGAAGTAAACGCATTTTGATTCAAAAGCTGGTATACCTGCAACGGTGTCTGGCATAGGTTCGAATATTTGAGCCGTTCCGACGATCTATCTACGAGGCACTGCTGCAAGCGTAGCCTTCAATTTCACTAGGAATACATCAATGCCTAAAGTAAATTAGGTAGGACACTGGTAATGTCAATCTGCATTTCAAAGGCGGACACATCCAGGTGATGTAGTGTTTGCTTACTGTATTATATATAGCTTTTTTTCTGCGATTCGCCTTATACTGTCAATCAATACTCCGTAGACTGACCAACAGACGAGCATTTGAAACCTATCTTTTCATGCATCTGCACATGCTCGCTCCGTATTGCTACACATCGTCTGCATCTCGTCTGGTGCCTTTGTTACCGCTAAAGAAAGTATCCATATAGAGAACTGCATACAGAATATATCCATGTTCGCTATGGCCGACCAGTTTTGTATTTATGTATAGTCTAATCTTAAACGCTTAGAAGATTCGTTACCGCCACTGATCTTGTACGCCAGCTAGGCATTACCCATTAAACGCATATAATAAATGCACGATTTTCAGCAATTCTGGTTTGAGTCGATGAGTTACAGGTAACTTATTCGAAATTATTCTTGTCAGCGATTCGTCTTGTGATGAATAATCACCACTAAATCCTTAGAACGCAGCCATTATATGCCAATCAAATTTGACCTGTTCATAAAAGTGATATCTTCTTGTCCAGGAAGATCGGACGTCGTGATATGAACGTAAGTCTTGGAGTTATTTAGCTGGGGCTTTCTCCCCCAATACAGTGCCCGCCGCGCGGCTCGTCCAAATCTGCCTGGTATTAGTTTTTCGCTATTTACTCCTGTACGTAGGATTCCACACGTAGTTGGCCAAATTGAGGTAGTTTCATCTTCTGTACTGCCTAAGCGCGTAGCGAGCAACGCATCGTCCGCAGGTGCGGTCATACAAATGGATTTGAGCAAATATTTGTCACAACTCCGGAAAAAACGATCTCGTTTGCGATCTAGGATTTCGTATCGCCGTATATATGAGGTTGGGGGACAATATTAGGCCGTTATACGGCGGATTTTTGAACTACGCGTCGCAAGCAGACGAAATTTGGCTGGCAGCCCTCTGCAGACTTGTGAATAAAACCGGTTACGTTTGCTTTATAAATTATTTATTCAAGAGGAAAACATTTCTACTGTTGACGCTCAGTAATTAAGCTCTTGTTTCGTGAAAACCACGAGGCTGCGGAGGTTGATCGAAAACTGGTGAAGACATTAGGCAAAAAAAGCCTTAAAAACGACAATACAATATGTGAATGACGCAAACGTTCCCGATACCGGAGATCGGCGAGATTGCAATCTTAAGATCAATGTGGAGGTGACCAGATCTGACGGAAATTATGTCATCAGAAGTCGCGGAGTCAGAAAACTGATTTTTCGAAATCAGGGCTAATATTTCTACGTAAATTACATTAGAAAATTAACATTAGTCGAGTCCACTATAATAATTAACGGCGCTTAAAATTAATCTAAACAATGCCTAAACGTTCCAAGCAACGATAGCGCGTAAGTAAGATAGGTCCGCGTTCTTTTTAGCAAAAGCAAACGAAATACTTACTGAGCAGTAAAAATTATTATTTTTCTTTTAATAAAAAACAATGAAAATGAAAGAAAATATTGCAGAAATCATTTTCGATATATCTGTGACATATAAGTGGAGGTTTTGGATGAATCAATTTTTGATATGGCTAGTTAACTTAGACTTAGTACAACCTCTTATCTATAATAATATCATAATTATGAATGTGAGGGGCATATCTTTGAAGAGCCAGTATCGCTACTCTTAGGTTTACGATCCTCTGAGATCTTTAATCTGAATCTTCCTGCGATCTGGATGTACAGCTACGACACGCATGCAATTCATGGTCTATTGGGCTGGCATGAGTATTTTAAACGAACCACTACCGTCTCTTCTTAATTTTACGGGTTGGTCAGACCTCTGAGACCACTTTTGTTATTTGAATGCACAGCTCTACTGAATTCAATTCGTGGCCTTCTAGGCCAGCTTTTTTTTTTTTTAGCTTTGCTTTTCAGCCAACACTTGAGACTTTACGTCATCTGTGTGATCTCCTATCTTAGAACCCACCACCAATTAGCTTCAGAAACGGGTTTGCAGTTCAGTGCCTTATAAATCGCAAGATGTACATCTGAGATCACTGTTGAGTTATGCACGCACAAGAGAACAGTGTTTCCTGCATTTGGATAGTCGTACACATATCTTCCAAAGGTGTCATAGCTTTTAGATTCATTAGTAAGGATCTTAGGGCTATTTCACAATGTCCTACTTGATTAATATTATGTGACTTTTTATGTCGTGACCATTTATAGTAATTTATATTTACTAAAAGGCGTTAGAGGCTTACGTAATTTTTTAGCAAATTCACTCTTCAAGAAAACTTAAGGAAGCCTACGCGTAAAGCGGAAAATGGCTAATGTACTAGTCTATATCTTAGTGTTTCGACTGATTGTAGATATATACTATGTCACCTATTCAGCACGATTATAACAATCCGACTTGGAAGGACAAGTAGGATAGGCACGTTAAATTTTCTTTAATACATTCTCATACTTTCCGTAAGAGGTCCTTGTAGACTGCATCCGTAAGTTGGTACTTTGAGGGCAGCCTCATGTTGGCCCGCCGGATACAGAGTTCAAGTTCTTCGCTTTCAAGAATCGGCCACGGATCAATCTTATGCTTAAAGATCAGATTTCCCAGGTGCTCGATATAGTGCTTCCTGTAAAATAAAATTACTCGATTACCTTACAGTCATATTCTGCGAGCGAAAATTTTTGTGTTAGTTGTATGAATTACAGCTCCAAGTTGAAGTGAAGGCTAAGATATAATATTACCTAACTGCTATATTTGATAACCAAACAGAAGCTACGATGCCCCAGTCCGTGAAGAACTCTGTTGTCACTGCACAGATAGATATAGAGGTGTTCTTACCTAGCAGACGAAAAATTAATGTTATCATTTTTACCAGCACTCAACATCAACAAACAAAATATTTCGTCTGCTATATTACGTCTGTGTCCTTTCGCTTGTTTTTTTGTTGGACCGAAAACGACCCGTAAAACGGTCAGGCTGGACAGATCGCTAGAAATTCATTCCGAGAAGATCAGTTTCCACCTTGAGATAAAAGCTTTTTTCCAATAAACTATCATGTTCGTTTCGTTGGTCGTGAGCGACATTGACGAGGTGGCCATTGGCATCGTCCGTTCTTATGTATTACCGAATATACTAAAGTATATTCGTTTTTCGTAAGGCTAAATACTTAGAACGTTAGCTACACAGCAGTTTAGTGCACTATAACAATATGATTATCTGGTAATAAATTCTGAAAATATCAGTTAAATTACAAAAATATTTCAAGGGCATGTGACCTAATGCTTCAACACAGTGAAACTTCATTTCTCTTTACTGTAGACCTGGTAAACTTATTTTTTCTAATGAAAAATGTAAATTAGTAGTAATGTTTATTTGATAGACTCGTGTAAATCCCACGCGGAGTTGTCAACAATAAAAATAACATTCGTTTCATGGCTCTGCGAGATCAACAGTATTATCTTCACAGCTTCACTATGGTTTTTCACTCCTCCGAGGGGCAAGCGGGAGCTGGATGTGTCGCCACACCTATCCGAGCTGCACCCTTCGGTACGAGCGGTACCGTTGTCAGACCTAGGGGTCTAAACAGTAAAAATGTTATAAATGTAAACACGTGAAATAATGCTTGCATACACGTAGTCAGGTGCCTATGCACGGTGAATACATACAAATAGAGAGAGTAAGATAGCCCATGATATTTCGCCAAGCTTTAGCCGAACGAAGGAAGCAAAAAACGAAGTTTGTTATTAAAGGCGTTAATAGAATCGTTTGCGATCCTCTTAGCAATAATTGATTCATGAAGCATGAAACTGAATGTGACCTAAGTGCAGGAATTGCTTGATCAGACAGACGACTATAAGAAAAACTATAGATAGTTGATTTGGCAAGCTACGCCCAATCCTTACGTCTATAGGAACGCTATATTTAACGCCCAACGAAAGGTGGTCCTAGTGTATTTTTAAAAACTATTTTCTACAGAAATGTGATCCAAAAGGGTTAGTATTAAATTATAATTTGTCCAATGTACAAATGGCCTCTGTTGATGTCTTAACTATCTAACCGATTGACGAGTTGTCGAGACTAAAGATGCTGCAGCTGCTGCTGCTGCTGCTGCTGCTGCTGCTGCTACCTATTTCAGATACAGCTAGGTATAGCGTAAAATAAGCCCGCGAGAATTCAACGTAGAAAATGCACAGGCCCTAACTGCAGGTATTCTCCCAATTAATTAATAGCTATATTTAATACGTTTGATGCAGAAGGAGATGCACTCTGTTCAGTCAGACTTTGTTCAGAAATAGTTAGCGGACAGTCGATGTGATACTAATAGTCACCAAATGTAGTAGGAGATAGCTTTAAGTGCGACATCTTGTTGGCAAGATAGCATAGAATTATCTCAAGCAGCCAGCGTCTAGTTTATGATACTTGACCAGAGTGGCTAAATAATAAAATTAAATGGTTCGTACAGTACGTAATCCAGCACATGGCAAGTTCTGTGTAACAACTCATGGCGCATCGTAAAGACCTCTATTGAATGACCTCTATCATACATGACAACCTCCTCTTTCGCGTATGAGGGTTCGCTTCTTTTAGACTAACATACAAAATAATAGTATGTCTTTTTTGAGCCAATAGCAAAACGTATGTTTGTAGGGCATGATAAATTGGCCTAGGCCTATTAAGAAACAGGGATCAATAGTGAGGTCGTTGCAAAGTGCAGATGTCCTCGCTCGCGATCATAGTTGCCAGCGACGAAAAATTCTGCGAATTGCAACTTACTCTACTAAATTGTGTCTACCATAAGGGCGTCCAAGTTATAAAGCATAAACTTAGGTAGAGATCTGAGTTTGAAAAATTCAACAAAAGCTGGGAAACATCGATGATGATGACGGGACAGCCCATAAAACTCGCTCTTAGATTGCTTGAGAACAGCAACGAGCTGCAACAACAAGCTGCAACAACAAGCTAGCAGAAGAACTAAAATTATGAAAGCTTAACAGTTTTTAAATGAAAAGTTCATATCTGAGTCTGAAAAACGATAGGGCTAAATCGCGTAGGAAGTAAGATGAGGCTGGAGAGCGAACTTTATCAAGAGAGAATATCTGTGCTATGTTATAAGAGCACCCACTATTTTCTTTACGTATTCTTCAGTATGTTTAAAGAAGACCAGGAGGGAAAAAACAGCAGTCGAGAGAAGCTCTACACTTGTATGAAAATACGTGAATTCTGTCATTTGCGAGATGATAATACGTATTAAGGTTATGGTAAGCGAAGCGACAAGTACCCGAGAGCTCAGCGTCTCTCGGCAAGCATTCTTAGTCGCTATTACTTCGACGCGCGACCTATATTACTCTGAACGCGTACTTCGATCGTTCGCTCGCCAATCATAAGCAAAAATAGGATGAGCGGGAGCTATTCGCCGTACCTCACGAAATTATAGTATTAACCCCTCGGGTTTTCTCCGCCTATTGAAAATGGTGAACGAAGGCTCTTCGTGCAAGCTATTCCTCTCTCCCCCTCTCGCTTTTCTAGATATTGCTATAAATTGCTTATATCATCATATCACATGGATTATCTAGTTCTGGTAGAAAGATACACATTTCGTTTCATTAAAATAATCAATATTTTACAACAGGATTCAAATACTAGAAAGAAAAAGCGTCATAGATAGTGATAGTTACTGGGTGGCGGAAATGATCAAATCACTGAGCAACATTATACACATCTAAAATAGGTTTATATAGTATTGCGCACAACAAGGTATTGCTTCCTAATTAACGTTGGCCGGTCTTCTTTGGTTTAGATTATAACTTCGGAAGTTTCACTTTTTTTTGTATCGCTTCTTTAACTGGACGTTGTTTAGGAACAGCAAAATGTATTTTCATGATTTAGCCGTAGGGTAATGTTTCTCACACTAAACAGTGTATCTCAGCGTTTAGTTTAAAGCGGCAATTGACCTAAGTTTTCTAAAATAACGACTTTCAGGTCATCGTAATGCCAAGCTTAGTAATCTCTTCACCGTATTTGTTTTCCCTTTGTCCTAATTGTCCTTTTGTTGATTGTTAGCTGTCCCATTCAGGGTTGTGGAATAGTTAAGTAGCGTCGCTGATAAATGAAACATGTTTTAATTCAGCCCTACCTTCAAGCTCGTACTTGTTCTCTAACAAAGTGACAAACACTGACTTCCTTCAAAATCACAAAAATAGCTTTTTTTTCTCGTCTCACCTGCAGAATGCCAAATATAATTAAAACTATTTGTAATAACTTAATTGACCCGCTTCGATCGGAATCAAGCGCCTGTGATTCCAGGTCTTCGGAAATCTCGTCTCTCGATGCGTCACCCAGCTACGCAGTCTGCGAAATCCTCTTAAGATCCCTTATTTAGAAATAACGACAAGCCTATATTGTCATTGAAGATTGTAGCCATACTGACTGGCATTAACCGACAACGCTTGCAGTGAACGGTAGAAACTTAACACAAAATAGAAACCTGGGCTGGTTACATATAGCGTATAGGTACATTATAGAAGTTTGCTGCTCAGGTCGTGGAATAACCCTTTCCTATACTAGGAACCTATGGTAAAGACGCCTACATCCGCTTCTCACACGGTAAGAACGGCTGCGAGTCTCGTACGCTCATCTGAGGTATAAGTTCACGTAGTGGAAAGATCGCAGCCACGCAGCCAAAACTTCAAGTTCTCAATCTGCTACGCAGAAAACACCGTTTTCGCTTCGATTTTTAGTTGCCCACATATGGTCGTGTTCATGAAGAAAGTCCTTCCTGTAGTTGAACATAAGCGCGAGTGAAGTTAATAACGCTCTGATGCGTTCAAATAGGATTCGCATTTGGTTCGTCAGGAGCCTTATAGTGTTAACAATAAGTGTTGAATGAAATCGTTATAACTGCCCTAACGAGTCAACTCCTGGCTTGAAGGACAATGATTTTTGGCCATTATACAAGGGAAAATAAAATTAATCATTTTTCTATAGTAGATTACGGAAGCTATCTAAGTGATAACGTTTTGTCTCGCATATTCTCGCAAAGGCAATTCCGTTATAAAATACAGGAAAAATACATGACAGTAGGTAATTCTACCTTTCGTTCTAAATGCTATGTCATGTGTAATTCCATTGTAAATAGTACTGCTAATATTTTCATTATCCAGTTAGTATTCTATCAGTGATGCAGAATTTTTAAAGTAATAGTAGATTAGCTCGCTCCTTTTTTCAGCCGAGTGCTATCAGGTGGCGTCCGGCAAACTGAACAAAGGGTCCTAGTAATGGCTGAGCCGGTATCGATGCTCGAAACCAGCTTTGCGTAAGTCGCCTGTTAGAATCCGGATATCAACGCGAACGTATTTCTCACAAAAAGCGGAAGATGTAAGAGGCGATAGAGTAGCTTGCGCCTGCCGCTAAAAAGCCAGACACCGAGAAAATACGAAACTGAACATGAAAATGATGGCAGTCATGACTCGGGACACGAGAGTGTTGAAGTGGACCGAGGAAAGAACAAATGTCTTTTATGGGAGGATTCTCTGCTGCGAATATGCCGACAACGTCTGGCCAAATGAAGGCTGTTAGGTATGGGGCCAAGCGCGTACTTCATTTTGTTCCGTTGAGGTGTTCCCGGAGCGTTGGAGAAGTCGCCAAGAGCAAAAAACCTTATTTAGCTGTACGAAGCTATACCTTTTTGATATAAAAGTTTCTACGTGTGAATTGCAAAATCGATTTTTTTATTGCTCGGAAAGATATTGACGGATGTTATTTAGAAGATGTTGAAGGCTAAAAGATCTATCGTGTAACTGGTTGAGTCTGCCCTGATGGTTGATGAATAACTCGGGAATGAGCCAACGAGTATCACTATCGCGTCATTCCTAAATGTTGCTTGGAAGCTACATTTTTTAGGAACTATTACGCTGTCTCAAAAGGTAATGCTACAGTAACGATGACCGACGGATTCGTTTAATTGATTTACAAGATTGATATGACAGGTGCATCTGCCCTCACGGAAAACACAAGCATCATTCAAGCATAACGATCCCACTGATTTGAATATTAGTTTGACAGACAAAACATCTATATCATTCATTATGTCCGCGAGCTTTCTCTTAAGATAACCCATTGTCGGCAAACAAGGGTTTATCATCTTTTAGGTTGATAAAACCACTTTTTTGCTTTACTTGTTTAGGCAGGCGAAAAGATTTAATGAGTGGATGTCTAAAATACGTGGAAAACCCTTAAGCTCACGTTAACTTGGTATGCAGTACGGGACGAACGCGTAGATACGCCATTTTTAGCTTGAGTATAGGTCAACTAAAACATATTGCGATCAAATCAGAGAGTACTTTATTTAAACGCCCTTTCATAGGAAAAAAACAATGCGATCACGTAGTCGAAATCTTCGAAGGGGTTCGTTCTCCAAACCTCATCATACTTAATCTATAGAAGTCTCGATGAAGCGTTTTTCAACGTTTTTAAACTTAAGTAGTAACTAAAACTAGGTAGTATTTGACGCTTCCTCTCCTCTTATCGACGCCAGCATCGTTTCCGTCTTGGTTGAGCATTTAAGAATAGCAAGTTGTCAACTGCCTTTTCTTAGGTTAATTTTTTCCCGCAACCAACAAATCCGCTGTCTCGAAGCATGCGCTTGTCGCTAACGTTAACTTGCTTAACTGGCTGCCACCGTTTTTGTAAGCAAAGATGAAGTGACGAAAGTTCTGATGACGCAAGCCCTAGGAACGCCCACATGGTCGGCGAAAATAGAAGAGCAGAAGGAAGTTTAGGCCGTTCGTCGGCACCGCAAAAAAGCCAGAGTCAAGTCAAATCGTCACTACTTCTGTCACAGCACATGCCCATATACAGCAGGAGGTATAGAGCATCATGACATCAAAAGGTGTAATAAGCCATACTTTCGGTCCGCCCCATACCCACAAGCTACGTTCCCGAATAGGAGGCTAAACGATGCTGCTGCTATTACTGTTCGTCTATGGATAATAACAACAGCAATATTGAACCGACATGGTGCGAACAAAGCAAAATAGCTGGTAACGGGCTGAGTTAATACTATGAAACCTATCGTGTAAACGCATACTAACTAAATCGCTATCTGCAGGACTTATTTTCTTCATTATTTTACTGATAACGGTACAAGAGTGACGATATAAAGAATTCTCTCCACCGTTGAACCTACGATACGAACGATTATGGCTCCGCTTCACTCTTTTTTCTTGTATTTCAATGAAGAGATACGAAATATTATTAAACTAATGGCGAGGTTGGAGACGCGTTCTCTCAGTTGAACAAAGTTTGCATAAGCAGTTCAGTACGTGCATATCTACGTGCGTAAGACGCGTGCTGCACAGAAAACTTCGCATTCTAACGTAATTCTGGCAACCACTCACCCATCCCGACCCTCTACAGGAAAAATCTAGTAGAGAATATCTAATTAGAATGATTGCAATTTTTTAAATCGGGCCAAGTGCATACACCTAGCGTATATATATATATATATATATATATATATATACACACACGATGAGACGGATTGAATAGAGACAATGCCAGAGACGAACCTGCAAACTCCTGCCATTTTAGGTTCAACCTGCTTGCCACAGATGCCATCCTTGTATCCGCCGAGTGCTGTCTCCTTTGTTTCAAGAACAGGGCATTGTTTCTGCTGCTCTTGGCCTGGCGGTAGGTCTTTTCTGAGAGGTACGCCTGCGTCCTGCGTTAGCATTAAATAGATAACATCGTTACTACAGAAAATATAATTCTGGGCTGCATACTTCATGATTGTCATAGAGCATTCCGACTGTTTCATAATTCTTATAACGACAGGTGCATCAACTCAAGCATGAAAGGCCTACTCCTGACCTAGAACTGTAGCATTATAGAACTTCCAGCGAATCTGGCAATGTACTTTTCTCAATTGTCTAACCTAACACTAGCTTCTTTTTTCGCATTTAAACACAAAACAAGGGGACGTTAGAAGCAGGACAAGAAAATGACCTTCAATGGGAGAAGAGCGTCGAACCCACGCCCCTTTGGGGCGGATAAACAAGCATGATCACATGACGTCGAACTGTTCCGCTAATTGAAGTTTAGCGCTGTTCACTAGGGTTATTAGTCCTTAGGCACTGTAATGCCCTTCGAATGTGGCCTGATGTCCTATATTGGTGGTGCAGTATATTAATGCTTGATTACTATATTAACGACTTGCTCTCTTTATGGGTTAAATTAATCTATGTCCGTGTATCGGCAAGAGGTCCAAACATCCCGGCACCGTGCCAGTTTATGGTGATTTCTTTTCTAGAAGCTTTCTCTTTTTTAAATAACTAATCTCTTTGCTTGCTGCATCAACATACTAGGTGAAAAATGTCAGCCTAAATCACAAATCTTGTTTTTGAAGCTGAAGTTGTGTGACTGAGTAAGACGCAAACCGGCGAAGATATCGAGCGAACGACATTTGGAATGCCTTCTTTTTCCGACGTCCGGCAACCAGCTGCTGGTCTAATCTCAAGCAAAACTGTCCATTGGATTTAGCCACGAACTGGAGGGGCAAATGAGTCAATTACATGAATATGAAATTTTCGTATCAAGTTCGTAAACCGAAGACTCATAACAGCGCATGCGTTTATGTTTCTTCGTGGTAACACTCCGTCGCACAGACGATGGCTTTACAAGTTTGATATAAGTATCGTCTATATTTCCTTTTGCGTTTTATTTACCGACTACAAATGATTAGCCCAGTTGACATAATTAGGTGTGTTACAATAAAGCTACGTTAGTTCCACTATAAACTCTATTATTACTGCATGATTAGTATTACCCATTATTGTCATGTTATTTCAAAGTTGATACGGTCAGCTGGTATCAACGAAAGTGGAGGTATAGAAAATTTACCTGATAAAAAAAATGGTAACTTCTCGAATGAGCTTACGCCAACGTTCTACCGCTGTTCGTACCATGAGCTCCGTTGAGGCATTCGATTAGTATGGCATCTTCTACGATATCTGCATTGGATTTATCTTTGTGCGCGCAAAACGAGCCGTTCTGCTGATTAACGAGCATTTCTCATGTCTGCGGCATTGCTAATTTTATCTACGCAAACGATTGGGTCGCTTTCGGGGTCTTTAACGGTTATCTTATAGTTATCAGCGTATGAGGAATGTATGAGTTCGACGGCACTGTACCTTCAGTAAAGCTTCAAGTTTGTCGTATTCTTTGTCACGCAGATAGAAGAGACAATTGCGTGGATGATGAGCGTGGAGACCCATTCGGGAACAGGTAACTGAAAAACCACATTTCTAAAAGAAAAACAAGAAGTAAACGACGTCAGAGCATCTGCCATCACCTTAGCCACTCAATATATTCACACAACACGAAGGATTATCACTACGAAATAAGCAAGTCCTCTTAACAGTTACTAACTTCTAACGTAAGTTCATTTAATGTTTGCCTGGGAGTCAATATACTATTGTCATTTGGAAGCTATAGACGAAGCCGCATTAAGCTTGCCGCATTGTTTTACCGTTAGATAATCGGCCGCGTAATTAGGAACGGGTTTGCGCATTTGGCATTATCGGAAACGGTACAAATTAAAGAAACACTCAATAACAGATTATGGCTTTTCATAGCACAACTATAGGTGAAGGTGTGTTATTCAAGACCACTGCAACACAACCTCGAGCAGAAAAAAGCTAATGGAACAATACACGAATATACATGTAGGAGGTATCGTTAGCAACGTGAGCCATATTTAACTGGAGTATTGCGAATTAAGCATCACAGAAAGGCTTAGTTAAACGTTCATTTTAACAGCGAATACTTAGGATTTTTCTCATTTGTATGCAAAATAAGTTCGTGCCTTGTTCCCATCATGGAAAAATGAGCAAAAAGTTCATGCCCCCATCACCAAAGCTTCTAAGAATACGAAGTGCGGCCTTCGTGCTCCTACAAACAATAACACGGAAAAGGTTATTCTCTAAATGTAAATATGATGCGAGGCAGGTGTTGATATACGAGCAAAACCTAAAAAGCACAGGATGTTATGCACAGCTGCCTTCTTTTTCTTCTTAGAGTACCCTTATCCAACCTTAAATGTCTACGGTAAAAGAAATTACAACTCTTATAGCTAAGCCAATAGCAAGGTGACTGTTCTTTCTGTTGTTGCAATGATCTCGCGTCCGTCCTGCATTCGATGATGACCCAATAAGGGTTATTTCAGCTGATCAAGAATGTCGAAGTGTTGAAAAAATACAGAAGCTGTAAGTAATGCTATTTGATGGTACACGAAAACTATTAGTATTCAATGATCTTGCTTTATAGTGTGTACCTTAGAAGTGTTAGCCACTAGAGTTATCGTATTTATGGGGGATGGCTGACAGACATTACGTTAGAATGCAGATGCCCAACGTCAAACAGCCTAAAGTGACGCACATCTCCATGTTTGTATGGCCGGTTGCATCCCGAACAAAAGTCGAATCCGCACTGAAGACATTTGAAGTGCATACAGCCGCCACGAGAAAGAGCATAGCGAAATTTACATGCTGGACACTGAATTCCGTTTTCCTCGAAGAATGTCTCCAGGGCCTTTTCGGCTGAGTCTGGCTCCTCACGAGATAACCACGCGACGAATTCGTCGCATGACATTGACTCATGTTCTGTCCGCCACTGAAATATTCAGATAATTTAAGAATACCATTAATGATTAGTAGTAAGTTGTCGTTCACATACTTGTATGCGACTCGTGCATGCACGCTCGTACTGCGCATTCATCGAGTAACCATAAATATTCCAGTTTAACATAGCAAACCAACGGCCTATGGCGACTGACATAGACTATCTACCGTGATCAACTCGCCATATAGTGCACCAAAGTAAGAATTGTGTCTACATAATTTAACGTTGTCTATGAGTGCTTGATTGATCCTGAGGCGACCGTATTTCTAAGATCCAATAGAGACCTCCGTCAACGAATGCTGGTATATAAATACATGAGGTAAGAAAGAATCGCCAGATCAACAGCTCATTCAACAGCGTATGCCCGGCTTGAGTGACCCTCCTACGCTGTTCGAAATTAGCATTAAAGCAAACTCTTCTTTCGTTTGTCTGGACTCCCGAATCTCATCGTTCTTGCTGTATGGACGGCACTCTAACTTATGGAAACTTTAGAAACGTAACTGTCATAAGACTATGGGCTTGTTGTTGGCGCAATCGTATAGCTGGTTCGTCTGCTATTCCTGTGATAGCGTGCGGTTTCTGTTGAACCCACTCGATCACACAAATAGACCCGCAGTCTTTCTTTGACGACCTTAGCAAAAGAGCGGGTTGCATGGCACAGCTCTTGCAATAGGCTAGAGGAAAAAGACGAACTCAATAGCCTGAGGGTGGAAAGAAGCATACGCTGGGAAAGAAGGCATTCTAGGCATACAGGCGTTAGTCTGTGGCCTCCTACATCGACTACGAAAAAACGTGTCCTGAACCAAGCAACGCCTATAAGCTCTTTGAATGAACAAGCTATTGTAATGACCCGTGGTAGATTTCTATTGACAACAGTCGATAAAAGAAATCCGAGAAACGCATTTGGAAGGGGACACGTGACTGACAAGTATACTAAGACAGATCGTTATTCCTCTAGTGTCCTTATTGAGTACTCAGTCGCTCACAGACAGAGGCTAGCGCCGACCGCTTGCTGTTCAACCAAAAACCGTATTCTTGCAACGTGGTGCCCTAAAAATCGAAATCGGTCCTAAACAAACGTTGCAGTAAAGATGCGCATAAGGCGCACGCATATACAAGGTACTAGAGCAGTGATACCTGGGTAGAAGAATCTCATGGATATTAGAGTAATAAATAAATGTAAAATATGTGCTATAATTTTTCTACAGCTGAACTGTAACTGGTGGAGTGTGTTATGAGTTATAGGACACACAATTATGGTCTGAGCTCGAGTGAGTCAGGCTTAACGAAATGTGCGGTCGCCATGTTAATACTACAATTCATGATCGAGGCCACTCTTACAGGCGTTCGGCTCTCTATAATCCAAAAAAAAATTATGTGATTCAGTAACAATATATGAGTTTACAGTTGTTACCCTCTTCATTTAAGGGTATGAAACTTTAATACAATATACAACATTTAGAGATCATGATTTGCTACCAATTCTTCAATAGCCAAAATAGAATACGAACAACGTGAATCCTCGGTTTGCCAGCAAATATATAATATATTAGATAAGTCAATATAATTCGCCATAACTGCATCGGTCGATTTTTTTTCGGTTGTTTTCGGCTACGTTATCCCTGTAAACAGATCCTCGAAACCTTCTTTTGGGCACAGCAGTAAGGACGTGCCCCACTAGGAGTGGAAACGGGGGTAGGTCTTGCTGGACCTAACTAGCGTTTCTTGAACCGTCCTATGAAACGACATGGTAAGCATGCAAGCACATTTAACTGTAATATTTTTGTGTTTGTAATGATAATTTCTGGTATTTCATAATCCCTCATAATCATAACCTTAGTAGCGCTGAGAGCCTAGCTGGAGGCTTCCTGTTTCTTATGCTCACCGACACACGGCCTGGCGGTCAGTATGGTTCAGTATACCGCAAACGCGACCTAAATTTGGAACCTAGACTACTCATTAACTAATTTCGAAATATTCCTCGTTTAATTGGCACATAACTATTCAAGTGATATTGGTTAGCTGTAAACTTGTGCCGGCCAAATACGGTACATACGAAAAATTCGGATCGAGTTGAATTTTGGGCTGATACCAAGCCGAAAACTTTTTGAGAAATGTAAGGGATGAAAACTGGCTTAAGTAAAAGAGAGTATGAAAAGACGCGAAATGTTTCAAGAAGACCACCCGTTGGAGCTTACTTGAATGATTCAATAGGCAAATTTTGTCTTATATGATGGCCCGCAAGCTGGTTAGTTCTCATCTTCTATTTTGTCTAAAAAACGAGGTACGTAAAAAAAACAACTTTCGGCCGTCTTACATGGTGGACGGTAAACCGGTTGTACGTTAGGCGCTTTGTTTAATATAATTGTATTCAGGTATTTACAATGCGTATCATTATTACAACGCTTCTGTATATAGGTCGTATTAGATGAGGATCAAAAGATGAGGAGGTCTTTGTCCAACTTTTAATGTGGCTGAAAAATCGGCCAAAATTGAATAGGGGCAATAGCTCAATTCAGTGGTGCCGACGCGACGTACAACTCTGCGAGCGTGATCAGGATCTCATTATCACGACCGCAGTTGCGCTCTTTTCCCATTGAAAAAGCAGTAAATCGCAACAGACGAAAATGCAGAAGAAAAAGCGCAGTGTTTTGGCCGCAACGACCTTCAGTGTGCTAGGGTATCATTAACTGGGACCATCAGAACGCTCGGATCGCGACGATACTAGCGACTCCGACTGCAGCTGCTGATGCGATAATATCGTGCTGACCCCCGGGGTGATACAAACAGAGACGATTTGGAGAGTCAAAAATCCCTAATATTAGCTCATTAGATCGAGCACGGCCAACTGACAGGGACTTAGCGCCCTGAAGGCTGGTGAGAGGCTCAAGTAAGCGTGGTCTTGCAGGAGCACTGTGGGTCTATTCTTTAGAAGAAACAATTACCATGAAATACATTTCCTGCTCTTCGCCCATAACACGGACTCATCTATCAGATATGATACCTGCTTCGTTGGCCAGCGTACTATGTATGGGTTGGCCCTATTTAAATAAATACTGTATACAAACTGGCGTCACCCTTCGAGCTCTAATCGGCCTTTGATTAACAGCTGTGATTAAATCATGAATAGATCTCATCGTCAGACGGTCACCTCCAACGACAATGCATGGAGTAGGTTGTCCAGAAATTCCCACGCAGGTTTCCCGAGTTGACGGTGGCCGGGTGTATAACTAAAATCATGTAAACAAGCCACGCCCGCATCCGAACCTAGACCATCATGTCCCGATGTTTAGCAGGAAAACACGTTACACACTGCGCTATAACGAGGACGAATTTCTCATGCATCTATGCAATCACAAGATACTAACCGTTTTCCTGCAAGCAGAGCACATCGTTGTTTTGCAGTCTGGGCACGTTACCATCCTCCGTTCGGGTACAGTGATAAAGCCCGACGAGCACTGTCAGCCAAAAATGGTACAAAATAAATCCAGGTTTCAGTTGGGTCATATTAGAGTAATAGACAAACCAATAAATGCAACGATAACATCGACGATACAACGCCCCCTTGAGGGCTGACGATACTAAAGCTCTACCGTGCATTTATTTATGCTCTCTATTTATAACAGGTAAATACCATGGACTTTGCGAACATTTCTCTTATGTCGTTTAATTGTGAAGTTCGCTAGAAATAGTTATTGAATTGCTATCGATAACTACAAAGATACGGGTAAATTATAATAATTAACGCTCATGATGCAAAAGGCTATATATTGTATATAGACGCGTGAAAAGAACGGAGACTTTGCCGAATCGAAGTAGGTTCAAAACATAAATAGTAATGGTGACAAACCTGAGGACACCAACAGAAGTTTGGGTCCTTCATAAGAGCTCGTTCAACAAGTCTTTTCTGGAACAGCTCAAACGTCTCGTTATCCAACAGGTCCTTCAGCTGCAAAGCAGATAGGTTAGCTAGAGAGGATCCATCTTAATACATTTCTTATACAATAAGTAATGATAATGGTATCGATTATCGTTTGTCCTCTATAAAAAACTCACCAAAACAGACATATTGCTGAAATAATTCTGTTCGATTTTCTCGTCGGCTAGGTCGGGCTCGCGGCAGAAGGGGCAACGCAATTCACTTATGTTGTGCTCACGGATCTGTATCGTGAAGTACGTTTGGAGGCATTCTCGACAAGCAACATGGGGGCATTGGAGTAGAGCCACCATCTGCGTTTCCATTGCCAAGCAAAAAGGAACCAATCTATGTATAAATTTACAGCAAAAACATATACACCCGTACAGCCACATAACGAGATGTGTTTTTTGTTTGCATAGCAGACTCATGAATTGTCGGTGCCGCATTATATATGCGCAGTCAAAAATTATTCAAGGTCCAGTAACCGTTGCCGATCAAAAAATATAATAAATGGTAATAGGTATCCCAATTCTTATATCGTATGACGTACCTTTTCGCACAATCGTTAACATAGAACGATGTCATACGTACAGTATATAATTAGATATAAACATCAATTTATATCGTACGAATACGACTATAGACTAAGGGCACCAGACTAGGCCATCGAAAACCTGGAAGAAAACACTGACAGGTCCTTAAAAACGTTCAAAAAAAAAAACTGAATAACTATTCCGAGAACGAACTTTAGATTTAACCAACTCCAGATCTTAGTGTTTACAGTTGATGATATATTAAGTCACACTTTGATATATTAGCGTTTTGGAAATAGAGGGATCGGGAAACTGCTCAATATACAATGCTCTCACATAAAGATAAAAACGTATTTATGCAATGATGTAATACGACTAAAAAACTGCATATACAAATATTCCTAATATATAAAGATTCCGCTGTCTGGGACGTGAGTTTTACAATAGATAGATAGCAAAAAAAAAATAAAATATCCCGCGAATCTACTATAACTGCGTGACGGTATTTCTGACATCGGGGAAAGCCAACAAATCATTACGAGTGTTTTATAAATTTCTTTTTTTTTTGGTGTTTTTTTTTTATAGAAGTTGCATAAACATACTTCTATATGCGTATCTTTGCGCCTACAGTTTTATTTGGGTTGAAGAAGCAACACTACAGATATCGTAGCTGTTCGGAAGGTTGTTTGTATATCACGTACAGACAGTTTCATCAGATTTTGTGTTTTCGTGTTTTTATTTCGTAGCTGACACGTTATTATGTCATGTCAGCCAGAAAAAAGAACAGCTCAAGGCATTTTTTTCTCTCTATATAAAAAAATACAAAAAAAACTCTGGACTAAATTTCGCATAGCGGAGCCGTTAGCATTGCGTAATTGCGTCTTGCTTCACGAGCTCACTTCCGTAAGCGGGTTGAGTACAACTACTCGATTTACAGGTAGAAGGAGCCAAAGGCAAAAAGAAAAGTAGGCTGAAGTGCGAGTCCAATATTAGATCTCTATACTATTTATATATGAAAAGCAGCGCTTTACTATTAAAGGCGATATTTCTTTCGCACCGTGAATATTTCCTTAGAAAGTCATACATAATGGCTGTCAACTATATTTTCTGTAGTGAAACTTCTATTAAGTCAATTGGAGCCGCTGGGCATATACTGACTCGAACTAGTTTACCAGAATCTCTATATTTAGATACATGTTCTTTCTGCCTTAGCCTAGTCTGTAACGTCACTCTAGTCTCAATCTTTGTTAGTACACTTTTCGACTGCAGCAAAAAAGTTATGCTGTGGGGTTTGTTCTGGCAATACGTTGGTTCCCACTTTCTCGCTGTGGTGCTCTATCCATTAGTTAGACGCGTTAATGCGTCTCTCGTAGATGCGAGCCACCTTAACGAACGAACGTGCCCTGCACGTTCGTCAGAACAGACGCAGGCGTGAGACATACGCACGGTTGATGTTCCGTAAGACCGACATCGTGTTGCTTCTCCCCAACACAAGGGCCTCTTCTTGATTCTGACCTATTCCACTGCGCACGTTAGCGCAGAGCGCTATTTCAAGGCCTACTCAAGCCACTCGGTTCGTTTGCTTGAAATCTATTTATATTGTGATCTAGGGTCGTAACGGCCCATCTACGCGCTAGGTCAGATCTGACCGGCTTTATATTAGGGTAGCATATTGAAAAAAAGTAACTGTTACTGATGCTGGAATGAGTGTAAGAAGCCTTAGGATACTGACTGCTATCGACGTAGAACGAGTATATGTTGTATGCGGGGAACGATTGATGTAGAAACGGATAGAGCGTAGGATACACTGAAGAAATAGTCCGTGTTTATGTTGAACGAAATTTAAGGAGCATACTTAATAAGTGTGTGATGTTTATAGAGTGATTGCTATAGATGCCAAACCATCTATTCAACGAGTATCGACACGACATTAATTAACGATAGTTATGGAAAATAACTATAGTGAGCGTAGAAGGAGTGTCACATAGAAGGCGCAACGTCAGCACGCTACGTCGTATGTGTCCTGGAGAACGAGCGGCAAATAGATATTTTCGAAAATTCTCAGTCCATATTTTTGTCTTCCCTGTAACCATTAAGCGGACTAGAGAAAAACGGTCTGTTAGGGACTGGATTCATAATTTTCCTATTTAGCGTTGAACAATTGAAACTTCTAGACCGCGTGTCTCTACGTACTTTTTTCTCTGTCTTACACACACACGCACACACATATATATATATATATATATATATATATATATATATATATATATATATATATATATTGAAAACGTGGCTAATTTAATTTTATCTCGAAATCCGAGAATGAGCAATTTAAAAAAAACCAAAAATAATTATAATTAATCACATTTCCACTAAAACTAATTGAATAGGCTTCACGGGTTCTTGCTCTTATTTTCCACGCAGTTACTGAACGGTACTGTCTTTGCAATGCCTGAACTTTTATCTAAGTAATATTTACCTAAGTTACAGATATCGGTCTATTAGCTAAAATGGTTTTACTAACAAACAAAGTCAATGGTCTTGTAACATTTCTCATCTCGAGTAGTTTAGCCGCATTTCAGGTACATAGTGAAGACTCATGTAATTAGTAAGTTTAACTTTGAGTGGACAGTATTGAAAAACACCAAGCGTTAAGTGTTGGCACATTGCTTGTTGATATTTTTTCATAGTCCGTGGTCCAAGTTTCAAACTGAAGAAAAGCGATTACCGTTTAAAATTTCTCTGAACTTTCACCGTTGCCGTCTGCGCCTATCTCCGTAAACTGGAAAAACGTTTGCTACAAGACACGCTTAGGTTCATCTAAAAGATACGGATGTGTGTAAGGCGGACCACAAACTTTGCCTTTGAGGCAGTGTTTTACCATTATAGTGTCCAGGTAGTTTACGTGTTTCTCCTTCCTAGTTGTAATAGCACTTTGGTGCACCTTGTATTGGCATGACTGCTCCGCTAAGATGCCTGATACGCCTTTGGCCTATCTGCGCCGGTCTTCATTCACATCAGTGCAGGCCATCATTTCAAGACAAATGAATCTCTCTCTTTCTGAGTTGCGAGACCTGCTTTCTTACAATGTACATTTAACATTTAAGTTCATAAAGCTAGGTAGGTGCATCTCTTTACGTTACCTGCCTTAAGTTAGCATCGAACCCGGTCACGTGTTGGCAAATGGAACATAATTTTGTAACTACCAATGTAATGTGGGAGTTGTGTCGGCAGGACAAGCTTCTCTTTCACATTTTACTCGTATTCTACAATTTCAAATCAATATGTTAAAAACCCACTGGGCCGTAGCTAGGACCAACATGATTAAGTCTATTTTCGAACCTATTTCGAAAGCTCATTCGCGTTTTACAACCCCCTACCTACAGACTATTATAGACTGAACACACTCCTACTTCCAACATAGACTATACACGTTAGACAATTTATACACAATACTGTAGAGCTTAGTCAACGAGTGTTGTTTCCAATTAAGTTGATATTCACCACACAAACTTAATTAGCTAATTGCGGTCACATGTATCGCCTGTCTTGCTGCTTCAGAAATCCAACGGTAATGTTGGACGTCATGTCTTCGTAACTTATGTTATAAGGCACGTAAGATTACTCGGAAAAATACACCGGTCTATAACACATCATAAGAAGCTAGTAGAAACTTCCGTAATGTAAAATCCCTATGAAAAAACATCAGAGACACTCAAGGTTAGCTGTCTTGGGCCCTCGAAGAATGTTCTATTCTGAGCAATGTACAACTGCGAATGCGAATGGAAGACAAGCGTCTGCGCCGCTGTACGGTCAATAACGCGTCTTTGACACATATAATACGTGTACGTGTTTGATTCAAGGAACCTTGGACGAGACTGAAAAACCTGCCGCCTTCATTGAAGACGAAAACGCGTCCAATGCGTCCAAAAAACTGTCATACATAAAATACGTTTTTGGGATTTGATTATTCGAATAGATTCAAGACAAACTTTAGGAATAATGACGATCTGTACAAATAACGTTCTAAAGCATTTAATTAAGGAATAAGTGCGCAACAGGAAAAAGTACGCAAGATACTTAGTACGATTTATGCTTAGATCATCTGGAAGCTGTCGACGAAGTAGAAGTTTCGCAAGGTACAGGACAAGAAGTGTACTTCTTGGATTATAGTATTACTGGTAAACTTGACAAAACATGTACGTTGCAAAGTTCTACAAAAAAAAAAAATACCTTGATCCTCGTTCACAGTACGCATTCACTCGGTGGAGAATTAAAGTCCGAACGCGCTACGGAAAAGTTGTCATTATGTATTCTTATCTTGTCTCTGCGAATTTGGGGTTTGTCAGTAGGCGAGTGTGTATGCCTCTGTTTATGCATGGCAACACACACTGATCCGGAGACCCACGGGTCGTTTATGTGTATCATCGAAAAAAGATACTATCATCTTCCCAAACTGCAAAACAGTTGACGAAGAAATAGCGTTATCATACAAGTTTATAGAACCGGGGGCTATTTCTGAGCACATTACCCCAACGGTCGACGAAAGCTTTTAATGTACATAGCTACGATTGCATGAAGTAAACCTGTGTTCACATGAGAGTCTCAAACAATAATACTTCAGGGACTACCAACAGACTTCAAACACGAATGTCCCACATAATAAAACAGTAGATGATCACTGAATGCCAACTTACGAAAGTTTAGTTTGTGTTTATCTAGCTGCTCCACTCGTCTAGACCCAAATCATCCTACGGAGTCATTTTGTGAAATAATTCTGCAATGATAATTTTGTTTATTTTCGACCTACGCATAGTAGCTATTATGATAACATTGTATTAAACAATTGTTGATATCAATATGATGCCACCCTGACGATTGCTTTCACTTCCAATCCAGACAGCTACTTCGGATCTCAAATTATATTTATTTTATACATCGTAGCAACCGAACAGTTCTACATGCATGTAGAATTATACCAACCTGACTCATTGGATACGTGCCCACACAAATGTTACACTCCTGCTGAAGGAATACAACTGCCTGATAGACGCTATCCGTATTTTCCGACGCCAGTATGGCATCTGAAAGAGAATGAATTCGAATATCAGATATTACCTCATATCCATCCCACTCGATTGAATGTCTATTGCTACAAGTTAAGCCAATTAACTCTACGCCACGAAAAATCCTCATAGATCCCTAAAGTGGTACCAGCCAACGACTACTTAATCATTTATTTCGTCCGTGGCTACAGGCTCTCTGAGCCTTCGCCACCGAGCCTTAGAAGTACGAAAGGAGTTATATATATACGTATGTAAAACAATTGACCTAGCAGACGAGGAAGGCTTAATAAAAGTTTAGCTCTTAATACGTTAACAACTTTCTTGGTCGAAGACAAGGCAATATAAAGACGAGTATTAAACTGGTACAATAAATCATACAAGCAATATAGAAGCTATGGATATTTCTAGTAAACTAATATTATAATTATATATTATTTAGTGACAGATACATATATGCAATCCAAATAAACACCATCATTTAACTTAAAGGGTTACACAACATTCTATTGCAACGAACAAACACCACACACATATTTAATTTTAAAATTATAAATATTGGCAATTTTGAACGTGTAACTGCGAGTTCATGTAACAGCGAAGCGATAACTTAGAAAAGCAGCTTTATATTTGCACCAACCATATGCAAATATACAATGCTATATATATATATATATATTTTAGGAGACAACAGCCTAGGGAGTTTGCAATGAAATTCTTACAATAGGCTAGTGGTAACCTAGCTGTCGATCAACTTCAGGAAGGCATATGAAGGCCGGAAACCACAAGTAAGGCAAACTAGGTCTCGTTCAACACATCAAGCAAGCTTCTGTATTATATAGCATAAACGTATTAGAATTTTGTTTTGTACATTATGTATATACAAATAATAGTAGAGTATGAAGGTTTAATTAGTCAAAGCTAGAATATGGTGTAGCTCAAAGCAGAGAGATTTGCCTACGACTCAGCGAACTTCAGCATTTTTTAAGTTCGAAAGCCGATTCCATGACCATTTAATAACCATGTATATTTAAGCTGAAACCTAGGCGGTTTGTTAAAAAGACGCCATTTAGACTATATGAAATGGATTACGTTTCCCCCAAAGATTATACAGCGTACCCAATAATTTTCATATTAACCAATGCGTCACAATGTCGATAGTGTGTTCTCTATATTGATAACCTACCGTCTTGGTCGAACTTCAAATCGACAAGTTCTGCAACTATTTGGGCCTGTTCCATATTTTCCACCACTCCAGATTTGAGCAGCTCGTGAGCCCTCTCCTGTGATTTCAACACAGAAATAAAGTCATTGTTTATTTGGGGGGCATTGAGAAACGCGGGGAAAATAAACTATTAATGGATAATCAATCGCCTGTAAATGAAGTATGACGCCGTTCTAAAGATGTGCAGTCAGAGAGTTAACGTAAACGCCGTATCGAGAGGAAGCCAAAGCTGAGGACTAGGCAAACTTGTGATACATGTTATCGTTTCAAATTAAGTCACAGGGGCTCTGATACGAGACAACATAATTGTGTTAGTAATGAACAAGCAGAGAAAAACTGTGCATTTGAAGCGTCTTTACGTTAAATTACCAGTCAAGGACGCGCTTTTACGAACTGACAGGATCTGCCCTCCTGAAGGCGGAATTTCTTTTGTGCTATTTCATTTAAATTATTTGTTGTCTCAATTTAGAAGATGCATTACATAAATAAGAACTGTTTTGTTTTTGTCCTGTGCTTAACGTCCATCGCCAGTTTACGAGGTACATTTCTTCTATGTTAAAGAAAACAACTATGCTACATCGACCGGTCAAGCAAACGGCTCTAAAACAATACGAAAACATTTTTCGGAGCTAACCCTTTAATGGGAAAAATATTTAAATATTGTGTCCTGTAACTGCTTCAAGTAAACAGGAAGGTATTGCTAGCTATTCTCTAGGACTCTTCTAGGACTTCATTCACTCACTAATGTACTCGGGTTCCATGTATGCATGGCCCGTTATATATCTCATGGACGCTTGCCAGTCAGCTGGCCGTACGGTCGAGTCGCTTCCTGTTGAACAGCACGTTCATGCAGAGTCCATACGGGTGGCATGTGTGCCGTTCACACATAGGACAAGTGAAACTATCACCCAAACAGACGTTCGTCCGGCCTACCGCCTAACCAATCTATTCTCTCGCACCCGAGTGGCATATATATCTAAAGCCGCCTGCAGTGTATTTGTGCGAATCGTCGACGTGGGTGGCTCGACAAAACAAGCTAACCCTGACGAGAATCGATAGCTTATCAGAATTTCGCTCGTATACATTCCACCTCTCAACTGCAACCGAATGAATTGAACAAAAAGGAAGTAGGCGTGATTGAAAGACTCAATGACAAAGCGAGATGAAGTAGCTGAACGAACGAGAAGAATGGGAACAAACATCCTGGCCAGAGACCTCTTCTTCTTTGGACGACACCATTATAGCCGACCCAACAGCTTTTGCTGGCCGATATATCATTGGGTGACTCACTAAATCGACGGATACAGGTTCGTTCACGCCTGAACAGGGGGCAGGCAGAACACCGGGATACACGGAGAAGGGAGTTCTAGAAAGTTCTTTACAATACATAACTTAGAGTAGGGAACAGCTGCGAATCTGAAATTAAAAACTCTACACGACGGAAACGACCTTGTAGATCCGAGCTCGACAACACGATTATTGTCATTATGTCTACCAGAATAGACGTCTACCGACAGAAAATTATGCCCTTCCTCGCCACCAATGCCATGCTATTACATATTCAATGCGTCCATGCGTTTTTAACTGAAATATAGATATGTATTCCAAAGGAAAATGTTTACAACTTACAGGGCAGTAAACAAGCAAGCTATGTCTAGTGAAAACATAGCAAATCATACAAACATAGCAGCGTATAAGAAAATACTAACTGATGTCACGAAATAATTGAATATTATAGACCTGAGCTAATAGCTGGTCTTCCGTTTAGAACGTATAGAATAAGAGGCGGCGTTCGCTGGGAGTGTCTGTATTTCAAATCTCAGAATTTTACCTTGATATCAGTAAAAACACGTCTATGTCCAAAGTGGGTGTTTTGATGATGCTGTTTATTGAAAATAACCTACAGACGAAGATTTTAACTATCTTTGGACTACCATGGATTTAAACTAGATTGTCTGTATTGTCTACACACGTGTGCCGTAAGTGCCCAACGTCTTCAAACAACGTCTACGGTTAGACGCGTGTCTACTGGACTTAAGTGCATGTAAGATCAAAGTGGAATCAAACAAACTGTATTTGCTCTTCTCTGGGGGCAAAGCCTTACAAGCGTAGCCTTGAATTTCGCGAAGCTAACCTGACCTAGAAACTCTCTCCGCTTAATTATTTAACTTCAGTTTAGCCATAGCGGATATCTTTAAAAGAATAGGATCTCTCGCATGCCTATCGTAGGCTATAGAGCCTCAAGTCAACAGTTAACTGTACAAAAAAAAAGCCAGCGGACGCTTGTTTAGTAGTTTCCCATTTTCAGCCATTGTTTCTCAGAGATTTGCCAGGAAACAAAAAAACAGTATTCACGGCTACATTCTCCCACCGGGGCAGACAAAACCAGGATGAATAAGCATCAAATTTATTTGAATGTCGGATGCTTTTTAATGAAACCAGCCCTCGAAAGAATGAACTAAGACCGACTTGTCGAGGAGCTGCTTCGAAGCAGTCATACCATACGAGCGTATGGTAAACAGCGCTCATAACGATGGCTAGGACATAGCTAATACTAAATATTATACCGTTAGAAGCGCGGGGGGTTACAGCGTGTAAGTAGGTACATGGTACAATGATGAAGAGGTTCAAAATGTATCCACGTATCTGTTCGTTTGCAGCTTTGCACACGGTATTCAAATATATGGGAAAATTTATCCAAAGTATTTCTAACAGCTGGGAAAAACGTAAAAGTCAAAATAGGAAAGTATCAACATTCATTCTACTAGCCGCACCCGTTGTGAGATAATAACATTGGGTTGTTTTAAAACACTTCCACGCTGGCAGCTTTTTTTTTTTCTTATGTTTAATATATAAATACCAATATATTCGAGCACGGGAATATTACACATTGTGTGTTGATTATACTCACAACGTAAAACTTCATAAACGAATGGAAATTTATTGAAGGTAGGCATCTTAGGTCACACACATGTATTTAAATAAAAAAAAGTACATGGTCTAGGCACGCTACTGTCGCTAATGTCGTGAACTTCTTATACGTATCAATTTTGAAAAATACGTAAATTTTATATATTAAAATTAATCTAGTGGCAGCGTCGATCAATTGTTCACTTACTAAGACAAATTAAACATTTTAAAGCCGTGGCCAATTTGCCAAAGGGTATGCAACACCGAATATGTTAAAAATCGAACTCGTTTTCAGTTTATCAGGTCCTTCAGTTTATCATCAGACGTAAATACCTTTTCTGCTAAGGGCAGCTACTGTTTTAGCTAGCGTCAATGCTGAGGGCGCGCGTTACCGGGATAATACGTTCAATAATTAAGAGTCCTTACTATACGTTGTGATTTGTTGTTGACTTTAACACTAAACACAAGCAGTATATGTAATATATATATATATTTGATCGATGAAGTCTAGAGACTGTGGAACACCTACCTTGTACTCTTTTTGTTTTACCGAGCTCACAGGGGCCCGGTTTTTCTCCTGAAGTACTGTTGCATCTTTGACACGACGTTGTGGAGGGGGTTGTGTGCGGGATTTCTTCACCACTGCCATAAGTCCTCTCGAACAAGATGAGACCTCATTACGAAATCCTTTGAAAATTGCAGTAACGGCAATTTTTCATGGGATTTTCATACGAGTATAGCAATTTATATATACTATCTTGGAAAAAATGAATAGATAAACTAGGCGAGCCTTACCTCCTGCCGACACTGTCATTGATAGTATAAATGTTTATACTAAATTAGAAAAGCTATTAGCTAGATAAAATAAAGTAATTACCAACAGATTAATGAACCCTGTTGTAATGAACGTTCCAGTATAACTGATAACAGTGGCAACCGAAACAATAATTTCGAAGGGAAGCTAACACAAATCTTAATACGGCGCCAATTACTAGCTAAAACCTTAGAAACGCTGGCAAGTCTAACGCCCTTACTTAGATCGGCGCCAATATAACGTTACGGACACGCGATCTACGGCAAGAGAACATTAATTATCATGAAGACGCTTGGTCGCTTACATGTTCGACCAGTCGCAAGAATGTCCTTTGGACCGTTAGCGCTAGTCGCCGATCAGATTGGATTTTCTCATCCTTCAACTTAAATTTTGTGCTTTGGGCATATGACTCCAGTATTTCTTTATCCGCATTAAAAACCCACATTTCTTTGAAAAACGCGCTTCGGGGTTCACCACCATAAACATGACAATAGCTTAACGTGGGCATGAATGTAGATTTTGTACAACCCAATATAACAGCTGTGTACAGGGTTACGCAGAAGAATCTCTATCTAGCCACTGATTCTTATACGGCCAGTAGAAAAGAGAGTAAGTGATCTGGTGCACTGCTGTATTTTGTTATTTATGTTACTTCAATGTAACCTGTACCAGGGGGCCGTTAAGTCTTTTGTCAGGAGCCACCTGCTTCATATGCATGCACGTAGACGTACAGCCATCGTGTCCACACAACGGCCTTTGAAATATCATACATGCAGCTACTATGGTACAAGCATGCAATTGGATCTTTCGTTTGATTTAATTGACACCTTCCCTAGAAGTATTTAAGGACATGCTCGAGGTAAGGTCTTGGAAGATCCCGATACCATATCGAGCAACCATAAACAGTTGACCGCCCTTTTACAAGTCGCTAAATCTTCGGTTCCGTCCCTGGGAAGTTCTACGGTTAGCGAATTCCAACGTACTTTTCATGCAGGCCAACCGTGACTCTATTCCGTATATTTACACGAAATAGTGTACTACTGCAGTTTTAATGGGATGGACCACAACAAATGCCATTTTAGCAATGTATATTTGCCGCAAAACGCTTGAGAGGGCTACATATTAGGATAGGATATAGGAGTAAGACAATGATAGGTAATTACCTTTCGTGAGATCTTGTCCAAACAGTCTTACAGCCGTCTCCAATCTGCGTTGAGGCTTAATGATGATGGCATCGCCGCCTGGAAATCGGCCGAATCCATCGCCTCGATCAACGATTACAATTGTACTGCGACGACGAATCGATGGCCTTCGATACACTGCGATCGTTAGCGGTTCAATATAAGTAACGGTAAAATAGAAACAAATCATTGACCTATCAACAAACAGTCGTTATTTACCTACACTCATATGTTATCCATTAGCGTATACGGCATGGTACACTTAATTGAAAAAATATAATTTGGAAACTATAGATATATTAAGACTAACTCTGTGTTTTATGGACGCTGATAATATCGTATCGGCCAAAACGTTTATTACTTTACAAGCATCCTGTTCAGAAGCCACTGTTCACATTAAAACTAAGGGTGAATATAAAAAAGATTTTTTTTTTTGCCATCTTTTTTGTGCCATCTATTTTATAATATACGTACCATATAAATACATAAATTCAACTCGACTATCCAGGACGAATGCCTAAGGCGAAGACCTAAACGAAGACCCGCTTTTAAAGGTACGTACCGACATGTTTGGACGCAATTTTTTGAGGTTTGCCTCCAAAATGGGCCAAATCTTCGAGAGATCTTCTAATCACCTTCATCATGGCAGCCTGATTGGCGAGGTCACTTTGAGTTCGTTTTATGGCAGCGTCACTCTCATCACCTGATACATCCGAATAATCATTAGAGTCGTGTCCGTCTTTCTGTGCAGTTGGCTTCGCAGATTCTGGAATTACATGAACTGACACGGCGGGTGGGGCAGAGCCATTCAACACAGTAGCGGATACGTCCGGTGAATCAGTCAACGCTACCTTCCGTTTTATGAGCTCCCGTTTATCAGGCTTGTTCTTTGCTTCTATGGAGTCACTTGGGATTTGCTCATCTCTGACTGTGGCCGCAGTTTTGTTAAACGATGGAAGCTCGGCTACAGTATTCCTATCTGTATTCCTATTGGATTGAACTGTTGGGACTGGCGTCTTAATGAGGTCCTCTTTATCGTCATGCTTTTGGCTCGGCAACTCTGACATAGCAGAAGGTTGGAGTTCTTCCGTAGAAGGAGCATTAAATACGGAACTAGCAAAATGCGGATTTTCTGACTCAGCTATTTTACTGTTCTTCGTGCGGCCAACACTTAACGAAGCATTTTGATCATCAGGGAGGTTTATCGTATCGTTAACGCTCTCTTCAAATCCGTGCTTTGAAATCTCGTCTGCTACATACCCTTTCACTCCAAGTTCATCCTCATACAGGTCATAGTCACCTCGCATATTTTCATCGGCCGAATCCGAGTTGTGTATTTCTTTATTTGCATCGCCACCGGTCACTTCCCGCTCCAAACGATCCTGTTCCTCCCAGTATGCGGCCTGTTGTCCCAGAAAGTCCTCTATAATTTTGCTGTCGGCTTGCTCAACGATTTGTTCCTTGAAGTCCTCGTATTCGGTTGTCCTCGTATCCGATATAGCGTTTCCGGAATCATTAATTAACGGAGTCTGATTTTGGTGTTGATCCTTGGCTGGATTTGCACCCGCCTTGGAGCCTCCGGAATCAACCACCTGACTCGAAATTTCAATATCTCGAATATCTGCTACCTCTTCAGGGAGAGTAAGACTCAGTAAAGGGTTAGAAGATGAGGTGATCTCGGAAACGTTTTCTACTTGGGATTCGGTGACGGCTATAACCGTAGCACTATTTTCATCCTCGTTACTTTCAAAAGTTTGAGGTAATTTAAGCAGTGGCACTTCCTCTATATTGGCTTCATGCTCGGCTCCATTTTCGGACTTTTTATCATCTCTTTCATCAAGGGAATACTGACGCTTCTCTTTTTGTAGTTGTTGCCCCGGAGTACCTTCGACCTGGTGATGCGCCGCATCAGTCGTCGGGCCTGCTTTACAGCTTTCGACCTTCGAGGTACGTATCTTGTGGGTATCAATTGGCGAAGCTGGGTCAGGAGCAACCTTTGAGTGCTTGGATTTATCAGCTTTAACCGCCACAATCAGTTTCGCGGCTGAGCTCCCTTCAACGACGCCTTGATTGACATCATTCAAAGTCACTGGACTTGCTGAAGTGTCACGATCCTTATCTGGATTTGTGATGTCCTCATGATGAATTTCAGGGTTATGCACAATAGAAGGATCAAGAAAATCGGAAGCTTCCTCAAATTCCTCGCTGTCATCTGAATCCTGTGACTTTGCGCTACCCTTCATCCGTACCTCAAAAGGTGATACAACTACCGCTCGTGTAACGGTTGCAACCGCGAGTTCAAGTTCAGAATAGTCATTGTCGTCGACTTCATCGCTATCTTCCGTTGTGTTGTCAGCACCGGTAGCGGTAGACGCACCTTCTAAACTAACTCCGGTCGTTTGCTCGTTAGCATCATGGTTTCTACTTTTCGTCGCCTCTAGGCCTTCTTCATTATCACTGTTCATAGCAGTTTGGACCCGTTGGCTGGCGGCTATCTTCGGTGTAGGATTCTCATGGACGAATTTGTCGTCGTTTTTCTCCGGTTCCGATTCCATGTCCGTTACCTTATGTTTTGGCAAAGATCTCTTGCACCGTCTGGTACCTCTTGCCTTGTCTTTCTTGTCGGTGTCATGTGCGTTATTGCCGCTTGAAACGTCTTTGTTTTTTTTAGGTCTTGTGACTTCCGCAGAATCATCATTGCACTTTTCCTCTCCACATTCAACATCACCTCCACTGTCTCTCGAAGATTTGGGTGAACTAGATTTCGAACTTTGTCTTCCCTCATTTTTAACGGCACCGTTATCCTCATTTGATTGGGCCGACATATCGTTGTTTTTATTAAAAGCCGTTTTAATGGCTGACAAAATAGTGCTAATGCCATTTTGGATGCGTTGCTCAATGACCTTCTCAATATTCGTTGAATTGCTAGTGACAGATGACGCTTGGTCGACTGAGGAAGCTGACATGGATGATAAGGATCGTGGATTCTTCTTAAAATAGCCAGTTTCAGCTACCATCGCCCTTTTGTGATGCTGTCTGGTATAGGCAATTCGCTCTTTGTATTTCCTGTAGCGAGTCTCCTCTTTCTTTTGCATATGCCGCTTCATCATAAGCTGGTCTAGTTTGTGAAGTTGTAGGTCAGGTCCAGCCAGTAGGTTGAGACTTTCAGAGCTGGATGAAATTACCGAAGAACCGCTGTTTGCTGATGGTTCGGCGTTACGCAACCAGAAAGCGATCTTTTCATCGGGAGTAACGTCATTATCGCTGCTCGCTCGACTCAAAGCTGGTTCGCTGCCGGATGGTCCGTTGTTATTAGCATCATACATCTTGACAAGAAATGCGTTCATCGCATTATTACTGAGCTGGGCCACTGCCTGGTCTATATTTCCTTGGGCCGCGAGCAGTTCTTGCAGAATATCCTCTGGTTTAAACGGACCTTTAGTCGCAATTTCCTGGAACTAATAAGGGGATAATATCAAACAGATTTGCGTATTATACAGTCGTTCTTTGGCCCACGTTTATGCTCTAGGCCATACACTATGTTGACCATGGTTATTACTTCAAATGTCAGGTCTGGTTTAGCGCACGACGGCCAAACATGTTGTATCAGCTGGCTAGATGTATTTAAATACAAAGTCTAACACTTGTAAGCAAAATATTACCACTGCTTGACGTTTCTCCACGGAGTCAAGTACGGCGTTCCAAACATTTCCTCGCTGTCGCCTCAAGGCCGCTTGGGCTTCCATCACACTGAGCTGACCCACGTTCTCCAAGGCGTTCTCTGCTACATACGAATTTGCCAGATGAATTACCGTTTCGATTATGTGTGCCCAGTTTGTTTGCAGCCAAAACACCTGTAAGTAGACTCATCGTAACCATGTGTACGTGTTAAGCCCATTAGAACTGCCAGGATGTGTGCATTAAATACGGAATTGACGTCAACTTCAAGTTACCCTAAGCTAAATACTTGATCGTGATATCAAATAATACAGAAAGGTTAAACTTAGACAAACGGCAGGAAACGCGGCGACGATGTGAAGGGCGCGCATTTCACGGCTTCCGTAGCTCGAAAATCCAAGAGACTCCAAAAGCGGAAAATTAGGCAACACTCTAGGCCGAATTCCCACCAAGGACCTAAAAACTATAGGGAGCAAGAAAGCTGAAACCCTTAAATCTCTGCGCTGTCAACTTGCTAGGTAATCTCTTAAAGAAACTTCTAATGCCTTGTAATCAAACCTTGTCATTATCGTCAAAGGCCAGCATCTTGGACGCTAGAAAGCAGCTGGTACTCCATTGTTTAATTTCACCTCTAATGTAATAATAATGCTGCCAAATGCTTGAAACGAAATAACACGACCCCTTAATAACACGGCGAAATAACCGGCTTTATCATACTAATTTATATATAATAAGAGTTAGTATAACAAAGCGTAACCACAGGATTACGTTTTCTTTTCACGTTCTTCTGGGTGTGTGTAAGCGGAACCAGAAAGTCTAGAAATAGAAAGCGGTCTACGACGTTCGATTTTCGTGCATCTGGATACGAGATTAATCTTCTAACGTAAGTAGACAAACAATACTGCACTCAAGCTCCAAGTTTGTCTTCATTACCCGAAGCCTGATTATTTATGATGTTTGCAATATTAGTTGAGGTCCGTCAGCACCGTCATTGACGGTCAGCCAAAACCGAAGTACAAAAACAGTACAGCTTTGTATTGCATATTGCTTGTACATGCCGGCATCTTTTTTCCGTTACAAACACCATTGGCTACCCACTCGCATAGAGAATGGTGCATTAGTTTGTTGCTATGCATGATATGAGATAATTTATCGTCCTATCATTTTGCTACGAATTACAGTCAGCCCGCAATAGGCTTGTTGATTACAGTATTTTACATTTATTCGGAGAAGTTCTACGTCTCAGGTTAGAACCAATTCCTTTCATCGAACGTCAGATTTCTTCAGGCACTGTAAGCGATTTGAATATATGAAAAATATGCGGTCGAAACGCCTGTTCCTAAAAGACTTCAAACATCTGAGAATAATTTAGTTAGCTATATTAATGCAATGGCTACAAAGCCCGTCGAGGTCATTGAGCTCTGGCACTTAGTAGGACAGAGACGGGGGTTTGGCTTCTTAATAAGTGGTCAGACACAAAAGTAACGAAACATGAAATTGCTCGCTGTTTCAAAGCTTCCTTTTAAACATTTATATTTTAAAGTGGGAGATTTATATTTTAATAGAGTGTAGTTGTTGCCTCGACAGTTGTGTCCCTTGGGAGTTTTTCGAGACAATAATTAGAGATAAATGGGGCAAGAAATCTTCAAGTATCTATCGACATTGTTATTATCTTACTGAATGCTACCCTCTAAGGTGATCACCGATCGCTCGGGCGCGCGTCCTTTAAAGTTTCGTGTTATCATAACATGTACCTAAATATAGGTTTATCATGAGCGTATTATTATTGCTCCGCCTCACATCGTAGTTTGTTCATAGATTAAAGGTTGTTATATTCTGTAGTGAATTTTATGGAAAAAGTTAGTACATCATTTGACTATTCCGTCTATAGCTTTCATTTATATAATACGGCGTATTCAATATTGGCTGACCTCAGGGGGCGACATTATGCGTTAATCTAGCGCAGGTAAATGAGGTAGGTACTCATCTGAAATGATTGCGGAGAGTCAGAAACGTTGTATCTTCCATTAGACGAACCCCCTAACCGTGATTCGTATATCTCTAGGGCGTTCGGTGAATCATTTCGCAGCCCGAATTCAAGCTACTCTTTCTACAAAGATGTCAAATGGCGTATTTCAAAAGTCCGCGTTTGTTTGTTGAAGTTCGTGTTCCGCGCTGCAGCAGACTATTTCTCCCTACGGCGCCTTGTAGTGTTACGGTCTGTCTGCTCCACAAGTGACTAAGAAAATTAGAGCTGACTGTATTTGTTCTCGGTGTTTTATTTCTGTAACGCGCCGCTGTGGCTAAATATGAAAGGATTCCTAATTAAATGTTTGTATAGAAAGGGACGCAGAATGTCATAATTTTAACAAACAAATTTCAGAGTCTTGCTAGTGTAGCATAACAAGACGTGCATCCGAAATAAACTTCCGTGTTGTTTAGTTACCATTTTTCTCATAACTTGTCGGTTCCATTCCCTCAGTGCTGACAACCCTTATAGAAATCTTTTCTACGCTATGAAGACAATCGATCTCCTCGAAACGGCTTCGGAGAGTGCCGAAGAACTGAATTGTAAAGTTTAGTTTGTCCAATAAACTTCGAAAAAGTTTTAAATTGAGTAAACAGCCTTTTGAGAGTTCAAATATGATGTTTTGCGTACAGCGGAGCCTTCTAAAAATCAATCAATGCACCTGTCCCTTTTTAATAAACAATAAGCTCCTCTTGTTTGTCGATAGCCTAAATCCAATATCTAACTCCGTTTGTAAAGGTCAAATAACGTAAAGCCTACGCAATAAGCTGTCTTCTTACATTCGGATCTAAGTAATGCCTTAGCAGCTTATTGATATCCTTGCAGAACGGCAGCTGGAAAGTTAACGTATGGGCGCGTATGGGTAACGTATGGAGCGCACTTGTGTTCCTCCAAACGGGCAAAGAGGTGCTGCCCACTTTTAACTTATTTTCCCATTTCATACTTGTTGTTGACAACAACTGCCCCTGCCTATTGAACACTAAAGCCCTAGAATTTTTAGGCGCTCAGGTCTATACTGTCTTGTGGTATTAAACATAGGAAAAAATACTCGAAGGCAGTAGAGTGCTGCTTCGTAACAGCAATTGCTGTCCTTTACCAGTTAGCTCACTAGAAAATCAATTTCAAGCCATTTTTCAATTATACGTAAATTTATTTTTCCAGTTATTAAGTAATGGGATTTAATAATGTTCATGAACCCTGTATGAGGTTGCACTAGTGAAATCTACGAAAAGCCAAAAAACAAGTACACTCTAAGTGATAGACCCATATACTAAACAATATTGTTCATTATATCGCCGTTGCATAATTTGCACACATTTAGTAGCACAATTGCACAACCGTTCTATGCTAATCCCCTGAAGTGAATTACTTAGCTTTGTTTAGTTGAATAAAGTTTTCTCTGTAAAAAAAAAAACTTGCTCATTAGAATAATTAAGAAACTCAGTGTTTTTCATGGCCCCTTAGCATCATTCTCTGCTGCTAGCCTCTCATCTCTAACATGTGCGAGTCAGACATCAACAAGAGCTAAATATTCCTCTAGTATATTTTATTGGTTAGTCCGCAGCTGAAAAAGTCTCAGGTTATTTTGAAGGGGCTGACAAGTGGTCGGTTTCATTTCATAGCAGTACAGACATGTGAGCTTCACTCAGCTGCACAAACCGCAGCGCTCCAAGGTAGAGTAAGCACGTAACGCCCGGATCGTGACAATATTATCGCCTCTTCCGTAAAAACATGTTGTACGTACAGTTTAGCTATAGCCTAACTATTTGGCCATGAAGGCAAGCACCTCAACAAGGCCACCCGTCATTTGCCTTATTCACTTCAACATTTTGATGTAGCCGTTAGTATTGCATGATCTGTCATCCAATTCTCGCTTTGCTTCCTAGATATTTGACAAATGTTCATTTTAAACGGAGTATTTATCGGCTTGCCTTAGATGCCAAAAGCGAGGGGTTTTGAAACGCAGGAGTGCTGGACTACCTAACTAAGCCCATCTTTCATGTTATATATAGAGCGATATATTGATACGTATTTGAAGAGCATAACTATTCGAGCTCACTTCATTCAGTTACTTTGCTTACCCTGCTAGATGGCCATCTTCTTCAGCTCGAGTAGTGCTACGTGAAAGACTTTTTGTGGCCTTACAACATCCAGTTGTTCTTAGTGCAAAAAACAGAAATTTTATTTTTGCCCATATTCTTATAACCTATTATCTACTCGAAAATTAGCCTGGTTATCGTTAACAGTTTACGAAGTTCCAATTACATTTAGCAGCTAAGATGACACAATATTTCGAAAACTAAAATTCTCGACGCTTTTGGACAGAGGCGCAGTGTCGAGTTATTGTCGTTTGAAACCCACAAAATCTCTCGAAGAGTATAGGATATATATAGGGTATAGGTATAGAGGTATAGGTATAGAGTGTAGGTAGTTCAAATACCTATGGCTAAGCTACATTCTAGGCAAAACCATGTTGCGAAACAAATTGCTATTTACGCGACCAGCATCAAACCTCTGTGCTAGCACTCGTATCGGCTCTAAAGAAACGGAATTACAGACATTTTCAGCCCCGCTGGACAAAACAGTCGTCCGTAGCCCTATTTCTTCAAACGTATGAAAGGGGACGGGTCAAGCTCTTTCTCCTCTAATAAGCCTTAATACAATCACCTGCTGTGTGGGCAGGAGAGGCTGCCTTGCAAATGGCATGGATTGACTTCTCGTAAAGAAAACATTCACAAATATCTTATTATTGAAGTACCATTGACAGGAACATTTTTGCTTGCCGTCCATATTACCCATTCTACCGTTTGCTAAGGTTAAGCTAACTAGAGCTTTTCTGAAATGCCCTGCTACATCGAATTAATTTTATTTAAAAGCAAAACGTAAGTTAATAGAAGTTAAAAAATTAGTCTTATGAATTACGTTGTAGCAGAACGTTGCGTAACGATTAGATGCCGAGAGAATGCTACCAGTATTTGTTTTTTTTTTCGGTAACCTTCGAAACGCTTCTTATTTCGAAACTTTCGGTATGTAATTATAGGTGATCAATTAACCGACTAGAACGTTAGAACGTAAGAAGTCTTCACATCCTATGGGTGGCTTTGATAAGCATAATATATTAGAAGGGTATATTTATGAATGATTTCTGCAGAAATCGACAGCCTCACTAATTGTGATTCCAAGACTTTCTTTCTTTGTAGAAAAGGTTTTTCGGCGAAACATGCTTTTTGCAGAAGTACATGCAACTTACGTAGCACTATAGTTAAATTTACCTCCAAATTTCTTAGCAGTTGGGAAAAATCTTATAGACAGGTTGATGCCTTCTACTGCACATTTGCAAATGGCAAAGAACTTCATTACGTACAGAGGTTATAGCCACGGACACGTTCGCAAGCGTGATCTTACCGGATTGGCGTCCGCGCACAGTGATTTGGCGATCTGTATATCCTCAGCAGAGAATCCAACCGCCTCGCCTTCCTATATTTAATGTGAAGAAAAGAATGGGTTTCAACGATGACAGTCCGTCGCCACCAGCCCCATGGCAAGATCGAGGGGGACACCAGCATCATCAGCATCGACAGTGATCGCGACCAAAACAAGTAAAGAGAAAAAATGGAGAAAAAAAAACGTTACTTGAGTACAAAGATAGGAAAACAGGATCGGCTACAGAAGAGTATGAGGCATCTATAAGAAGAACTGACGAACAACGAGGCGTCTCGTAGTGACTGCGGTGAGGTTTGAGGAGAACCTGAATTTTCTGGGCATTCTAAGACTACGTGGTGGCGCCATTGCTGATTTTGTTTCTATTACCACCGTTTCTAGGTTATTATTCTCTGAGGGAAACTTGTTGCCCCTACCGCTCCTTCAGGCTGTTCCATTCTATAGAATTCTGCCTTCGCTTTACCCTACTAAAGCTCAGACGCTTTATAAACCTAAGCTATAGTTTTAGCAGTCTCTTCCCCTTTCTATCCTCGCAGGAACGGAATGGGCCAGAAAGGTCATTGGTAGGGGGCTGATGGCTAAGGCTGCTTAGAGGTGGCTAGGGCGAAAGGAAGAGAAGGCAAAGCAGGAGGTACTGTTCTGCGACCTATCATCGCCTGCTCTGGCATCTTCTGGCAATTTCTATGCAAAAACCTCTTGTCTTTAGCATAATGTTACTATTAAGGCAGGTTGAACCATTTGAAGCTAAATAACTGTGCCATTGTTTAATGCCGCATGAACAGATTGGCCGGGAAGGCCTAACAGAAAGGAGACAGATTGAGAATCAGCCCCTTAGATCGCTAAATTAAGAATAACCGCATCAGGCATGTCAAAGGGAGCAATTATATATGATGTTATAATAATTATTTAACCCTATATCAGCCTTCTTGAGTAGCGGTAGATGTATATTAGTTAAACTCGAAGGTGTTTTGTTTGTTCTCCGATAGCTACCTCAGCGTGTCACTATGTCAGTGCTCATGAATAACCTATACATATGCCGGCTGTTCATACGTGTCTACGAAATGTCGAGCGCAACCTTATGTATCTCAATAGTATGATTTTAATCGATGAAATCAGTTTAGAAACGATATTGGTTATAAGCAAGGTTAACTAGTGTTAAGGTAGGTAGCATTGCCGTTCGAAGCATGAAAGTTCAACCATTTTTTCTGGCTCGCGTCTCAAAAAATATGCTCGACTACGGGCCCGTTGAAAGACGCTGCCATGATACTAGATGCATGGGTACTTCCCTTAGACGAGCGCTTAACCGACGGGCCACTACGCTATCCGTTAAGGCCACGTACAAAATCTAGTTCCTTATTACAAAACATCGTCTTTAATTCATCGGAATTTCGTTCGTACGATTTGTGCCCTCAACAAACAATCTCTCCCAAGTCGATGAAGTCATTAAACCTACAATTCTCCTAAGTGATTCTACAAATCCTCCGCTGCTTATAATACCGGCCCGCGCAGAAAAAAAAAAACTGTGGCTCTGGCAAGGCGCCCTATACGTAGTATCAAATAGAATTACACTCTATCGTTGAAGCGTTGGTGCTAAAAACACTGAAATGCTAAAAAAATCTCTACACGTAATACAAATCTGCACCAATTGCTTAGAATTTGTTGATACAATTTAATAATGTTCTATCAATTTATGCGAACGTTAACATCAAATTAATGAAAATAGACGTCAACATCTGTCAATGCACACGATCTCGGATGAGATGGAGCTTCCTAACGCATTGTAGGGTCTTAATTACAACTTTCACATATACTAAACGTTGGTTTTCCACCACTTCTGAAAATCCATACCTAAGTTTTACCTTTATAGCTTTCATTAGCTGAAGCGCGTTCTCTTTCTCTAGGTCACGTCTCTGTTCTTCAATTAAATCAGCGACACTGCGAAACGACCGAATCTTCAGGTTGAACGCTGTGGGCATCGAAGTACTTTGATCCTCTTCATCACCAATATTATCGAACTGTCGCGTGTCGTTATCTTTAGCCATCTGCGAGAGCTTTTTGTGGTTAGGAGACGGTGTCAAGACGTGGTCATCATGCTTCGCTCTTTTGATCCAGTCTGTGTCCTTACTGCCTGTTACAGCGGTTACCATCGTTTTTTTGGCAGCGACATAATCTGGCTTTTCTGCAGCTGTTGTCGTTGGTGCGACCTTACTTGGCCTGATCTGTCTTCTGTCGAAATCGGCGACAGCGCGAGACCCCTTAGTGACAGTTTGCTGGACGCCATCCCTAATGGCAGACACTGTTGCTGTCTGTCGGCTGTCCCCTTTAGGGACTGTGCGCGGTATCGAGATTTGACTCTTCTGAGAATTCTCCGAACCTTCCTCTGAGTCACTCGATAACTTCTTTTCCTGTGCGTCTTCTTCAGCTTCGTCACTTTCTTCAGCAGATCTCTGAATTTTTTGTTGCATTTCATTATAGTTGCAAAATTGAAAAACGGAGTAAGAGTATAATTCTTTTTCTAATTATGTATTAGCGTATTGTTGGCGAAGTGAAATAAGCTTTGAAAAAGAATAATAAAAATATATCCTAAAAACTGTAGAGTTACTCAACCGTATGTAGATAGTTCTTGCTGATACAATGTCTGCAGCATTCGGTAAGCATACGACATTCAAGCATTTCACTCTTTTGCCTTTTGTATTAACGACACTTACTTCGTGTCTCTCTTTTGCCTCAACTCGGGCCATTATCTTCCTTCGAGCTCCGAGTGTACTATCGCTGAGTTTGCCGTCCTCGGCTTCCTCTATGTTTCCGTGACCCTCTTGATACTCTGCAGTGTCGTCCGGCGTAGAACAGGGTCTTGCTTCTGGCTTTTGAAGCCCTTCCTGTAATGGACAACAGAACATTGATCACCTGAGTGGGGTGTCTTGGTTACTCGTCATCTATACACATGACAGACATAGCTAAGTTTGATCTGCTGACAAGAAGTGTACAGACAATTCGAACCGCCGAACGACGTTGAGATGGCTCTTTTTATTTTCATTGGACTCTCGAAGTTGACTTAATAGGCCTATTCTATCCGTTCCATTTTTAGCGTAACTCTTAAAGGAATATACGAGAATTGAAATTTCGGACAAACCTTTTTAATTGCCTCGGTCGACTCGAGAGACGCTGCCTTACTAATGGAAGGATTTCTTATAGTTCCGAGTTATTTAATATTTTCAACATTCATCCAATATTTATTTGAAATTACCTCACTGGAAAACAACAGAAAAACCGCTAGCTGACAGTTTAGATAAAGGTGAGGAAAGGGTCGAACAAGATTAGCTTTCGTTTTCTATGACTCTCCATTTTGAGGCGGATAAGTCACGAAGGGCTTCGAGATGATTCTGCCGATCGCATGTAGGAAAACTGTACGGCCTATTTTGAGCTTCAGATCGGATGCCCTCCATTATCACGTCTCCGGGATTGACATTTGGATCTGATGGGATCTTCGGGATTGAAATTTTTACAAGCGACTTTAACGCTGTGACACTGTTTCTGTGTATGGTTGTGATATGCAGATCCATCGAGTGTGTGAAGAAGCCCCTTCGATTTGCAACAAGGGACGTGGACGGTATAGCAGTGACCTTTGCCGGTTCTATTCCTTATCGGTTCATGTAAGCGATATGGTTCAGTGTAGCCTATTAGCAATATAATACCTTATATATATACTTTAGAACTGTGGAAACGTGCATGGGATTTCGGCAGTGCGTAACTGACACGCTTCTACCTACGTTATTACACAAGGTAAAAGGAAGCTAATTATAATGCTAGGTAGTAGAACTTGATTACGGGCAATTTATCGTACACTGCTTTTACTTATTCATGATTCTTATACGCCGACTTGACATGTTCAGTTCTACTTACTTAGTACTATTAGCTATGAATGTTTTCTTTTGGAAGTTTCCGTAGAGAGCGACAAATATTAGATCTGGTAGCAAACAATATAACCGCCCCGCATAGATAATTCATTATCCTTACTATAATTAATATGGATCCATATATGTGATGCTTGTTTGAAAGCTTTTACAGGCATTTGTCAAGTCAGACTATATGCATATACATACCTTGTATAGCGGATTGAGTTTCTATGTGAGCAAGCAATATAAATTATTTGACGAGCGTATAATAAATAGGTTAATATTCTGCCTAAATAACTGTAGGCGTTCAGTGTCTTTGAATGCTCTCAGAGGCTGCCTTTCATCCAGTTATATCCCATCTACTAAAGTAGTTAGGTCACGCACGGTTCATAAAGCTCGAACATTCAAAAGAGGACTAACCTACCATTTCCAGAATGGCGATATGTGCTGGATCTTTTCCCAGGAGGACTAGGTTATCCTGATTGAGGGGTCACCCTAGTCGGTACGTGCACCACACTTCATGAAGATACGAGTTCTATACGCTACCAAAACGTGCTCACATAGCAAATTAGGGGCATAAAAATAGAGAATGGCTAGGGCACCGTTCTTTTTGAATATGATTTACCGCGAGATATATATATATATATATATATATATATATATATATATATATATATATATATACATACAGTTTGCAGTTAAAAATTATCGGTAAACTTTTACTTCACTTAAGATTCGATTATTTGGCTAGTTGGTACAGCGGCAAAACTACGAACCGATCGCAAAAAATTAAAAAAGTAATTTCGTTTCTCTATCTAAGCTTTCGATTTAATAATTTCCTTAAAATTAAAAAATTTAGCAAAAAAAATATGATTTTGTAAATATACACATAAGACTCACGCTATTTCGTTCGAGTAACGTGTCCGCGTTTATTTCATTCATGTGTGTATATATATATATATATATATATATATATATATAGAGATATATAGAGATATGCATATATATTGTTTCGTATGAGATTTGCCGTAAGATAAGACTCTCTAAACGATAGTGTGCTAAAATTATTGCTACCGTCAGAGTACACTGATACCGACGTTTGCTCATTCTGTAATAATACCTCAACACAAACAATTTTCAATGATCTAATACAAAACACTTAACGTAGCAAATTACTAATATTACAAACTGAACGACCTTTTCTTTTTGGGCTTGATTTTTTTTTTTTAGTTTTTACATTTGCCCTACTGTCACTTGTAGCCAAGCAGTAACGTAATCGCCTATGAATTTTCTATTTATATTACAAAACGTTTTGGTTATCTCGTTTTTATAACTTTGTTAACGCGTCCTTGTGTTTCATAATATTTTTATGTGACCAGTTGACAGATTTGCAAGGCCAGCCTGCTCGTGCTCGTCTTCAAATCACAAGGTCGCAGGTATATAAAAACGTAATATCTTCGATCACAGCTACCCATTAAGGCTCCAAAATGAAGCAAAAAATTTTGTAGGACTGTTTCTGTGAGTTGAATCGAAGAGGTTCGATTGGAGGGGTTTGTTTGCTAATCGATTAGGAACATGTTACCCGCACACCACCAGTCCAGGTCAACCCCACCGAATATCAATGTTCGTTTAGCGTTTGCAGGCGAACGTGTAGAGCGCACCCGGCCGCGTCTGACAGACTCAATGTGTGATAGTTAGATTTTTCAACAGGATAAATAAAGAACAGAGAAAGGAAAATCACTAGACCAACTTGAAGTAGCACTTTCTCAACCTGAGAATTCCCCAATCAATATTTCTCCTATCCCCGTTTCTCGTACGGAATCAATGTGAACTAAATGATATTTATTACAAAATAGTCAAGCATACTAGAGAACGCAATGATATACGCAAGTACGAGTGGACGTATATTTGGGCAGTCCTAACGGCGAGCGTCGGTCAAAAATAGTCGAGAGGTTCGATGTTACGTATAGTCATAGGCTGGCAGCGAATACTAGCTTTGAACGAATTAGAGAACACGGTCAAGCGACCATCAGGCGATCAGACGGGAAGGCTCCGACCTAACAAAAAAAAGTTGATTGGAGGGCTCCGCTAGTAATGAGCGGATGGCATCTCCTTGCTTCATCAATTATCCATTTTAAAAAAAGCTGCAAACCTCTTTCCCGCTACATCCTGCTAGCATCAGTTAGGTCACATTACAATGACCAATATATTCATTGCATACCGCTGTAGAAGATATTACGAATCCTCGAACGCGTTTGGAATCTACATCGGTCTATGTAGTTGCAAAGTTACATATAGGGTGTTCCAAAAATCCACACGTTCTCTCTCATCAGAATCCATCAATTGTTCGTCTGCTCACAGACAGAACATGAAAATATCATCCGAAATCACATCGTCTACTACTCGAGTTTTCCTCATAGCATCTACATATATAACGCCTTATTGCCTTCTAAACGCCGCCGGAGGCAAAAAAAAACAGCGTTTCTCTTCGAGTAGTTTATATGTCTGTGTATAGCTTTGCTGTTAGTATTTGCATGACTCTTCGATCATCCTGTATATGTCAGCCGTTAATTTCTAGTAAACCACAAGAAGTACACTGTTTGTAATACGCATTGACATTCACACGCGTCCCATATAAGTCCGGCTGAGTAAACCTGGGTCCTACTATAGCATGTACCTGCCCATATATACGTATTTACCGCAATCTTTATTTATCTTAGTTTCCTGTCACATTGCCCATTTCACAGTACGTGGATATTTCCTTGATTGCACGACGGAACTTACCTCGGATGAAAGTGACGACCTGGATGATGAAGGTGTTAGATCGGAGCCTTTAAGAGAGCTTTTTCGTGGCCTAGAATTAGAGCCACATTCAGATGTTTGTCCTAACGAAGTTTCAAAGCGAGACCTTGCCTGATTAATTGAAGTAATCGTCTTTGGTGTGCCGTTTTGGTTAACCATCATACGCCGATACGGTCCCACTAATGGGATAAGAGCAAAAAGGACGATCAGAAAAATTGTTTTAGAATGAAAATTAATATCCCCATACCTGTTCTGCTACACATGCATTCTGTAGCTTCGTCATACCTGCGGGGTGAACAGGACAGCCTCTTACTAAATTCGTATTGGGGTAGCTAAGCGATATCGACTGGATATAACTTGCACTATTGACCGTTATCATTAAGTACGATTTTCTGATACATTACAAATTGTCCGACACCTTCTCGGTTCCCTATTTTAAGCAGATATGGAAAGATGAAAAAAACATGCTCAAAAAACGTAAAAATAGCGACATGTATCTATGAGATATCAAGTACATCGGCAAACCTGCTCCCTGTTATTTAGGCAGCATACCAGTAGTAAATGAGCCTTCCTTATTCATCTTGATTTTGTCTTCGAACCGCGATACAAGGCTTCGAGGTTTGGGATATTTTTCATTTTCCACGCTCCTTCCAGATTCAGTTTCAGATTCTGCTTCAGAGGTAAATTCTACCACTTCGTACGCGTCATACGGCGTTGTACCTTCTTTTGATTCTAGATAAATGAACCAAATTAAGTAACTGAGTTCTCGTTTGCTCGCGGTCTAGTGCTTGTCACAAGTAACCGTAGTCTAGGAGTATTCACCATTGCAGCATAAAGACTGTTGCTTCTGTTTTCGCTGGTGTAACAGATGCGTATTTTACGTTTGTTCAATGAATTAAGTATCAAGCTTCGATTTTTTTTTCTAGCCTCTTTCTCGTAGGATTATCAAATACCATCCTGTTTGTTGCGTTCGTTTAGATTTTGAGTTTCTTTTGATCGAAGAGAGGCAATTGTATACGCTGGCAGTTATCAGACGAGGTATTTATAAACGTCTAGTTTTTCCGTTTTCGCATGATGTATAAGAAGCTGTTTGTGCGGAGCATTGAGGCACGAGAATCTGACGCATAACTACGTAGTTACATACAAAAAACGTAATTTTGCGCAAGTTTAATTAGTTAAGTACCTTGTCTGGGTGCATCTCGTCCGGTCGAGCCGCTAGAAGCTTTCGAGTTTTCTTTCGCATTAGATTCTCTTTCAAGTTTGGCGTTTTCAGCTGCGATGCGTCTCTCGTTATCCAGTCGTCGCCGCAATTCCTGTAAGTAACAGTAGCGCACACTTTGTCATTTAGAACTTAATTGACCGCAATATAAGGTAGATTTCGAACCAATTCGTCGACACTCTCGAACAAACAAACTGCCATCCAACCGCTATAGCTTTTCGAAATAATGCTCGAATTTCTCTTCGATTAGAGATGATGTTTCCTGTGGCCTATCTTCACTGTGGCAGAAGCTTATGGTTGTCGTTGTCGCCGTCGCTTCAAGCGTAAGCTAATCTTCTTACTGTGAACGTATTCTGATGCGTTACTGAAATTAATATTATATGCATATCACTCAAGTAGCCTTTGCTTTGTGTAGTCACACCTTATTTAATTACTCAGACAATACGAACTAGTGATATGTCGTACTTTCGACTAGTTACTTTGTCCTGCTTTGTAAAGGACATTTCCGCGCTCATCTGCGCATAACCAATATTGCTAAACGGCACTTCAACGTGTTTAGCCTCCTCTGTCTTTCGTCAGCTGCTGCTTCGATCTTGGCTTCTACGACGCCCACCCTCTCCTGGGCAGCGACAGGTCGGAGGTTCCCGACTCCCGACGAACGAATCCTATTCGTCCTCGTGTCGGCGTCGCTTTCGGTGCTTTATGGCGTACGACAAATGGACACCAACTCGACGGAACTCGAACCAACTCAGGCTTGAGGGTCGTACGGACACAGCACTACCGTATCACCATTTTGGAAGTACGGAATAGAATCACCGGTGCATGATAATTAGTCCTAAATATACAGTACAGATTTCAACAGACGTGTTTCAAACATTAGAGAAAAAACCGTGCTTTTATTTTTGAACCCCTACGTCAGACTCAATTAAACATGAAACTCTTAACAATCTCCACAGAGCTAATCTTTTCGTTTAGCTAGATAAAGCAGAAAAAGCTGAGTTCGAATTGACAATAGCTTATTTACTCTGGAAATCGAAAGCACACCTAAGGCTAAGAGAGAGACGACATAAATTGTTGCCTTCAGCCATCCGATTGGGATGGTTGTTTAGGCTTTCGGCCATGAGTCCATAAGATTAGGACATATTGGATGGGAAGAGTTATGACCTGACGCAAACGTTTCGAGAGTAACAGAACGGTACACTGTTATCAACATAAAGAACTTATCACATGTAATAAAGCTGCTGCCCCTCGTTGAGCTGTGACGACCTTTGTAATCTCGTTTTTTGTCGGTAGCCGTATGTTACAAATGACAGACTGGACGAAAAACACGACGAGGCGGTTCTCATGAATGACATTATTTACTCCCGTACCGCTTCTATGAAGGCATATGTCAGAGCTGGATAACTGTTTCACACAAAAGTATATGATTTATATCGAAGTAATGCTGTTCAGAGGTGCCGGTGTTGTCTCCAGTCCATTCTAATTTCGGGGTTTTAAGCCTTTCTAAAATTCGGAAATCTATCACGTAAATAATCAGTTTACTTTGCCTAGTTAATCTGAATAGAGACAACAATCGAGCTTCTTACTAACGCTGATATACTATATATGTCCCAAGGAGAGTACAGCGGCTGGGATATTTGTGCTTTATGTTCTTGTCACAAAGTCAGCATGTAGAAATTACAAGATTCAGTCGTTGCAACGACCACGTGACGACGTTGCGAAAATCCGTTCACCCTTTGAACACAGCTCTAGCTAAATTTATATCAACAAATTTATATCGGTCAACGACTTCAGCCTACACCCATTTGGTTCAAAAGAAATAGGTAAGAGCCAATTTCTTAATATAATCGTAGCCATTTGTAGTACCTGTTCCACTTCGCGCTGCTGCTTAACAAATTCGTAGTCGAAACCATCGACGTCCTTACTTATACTCGTCCTGGGATCGGCCTGCTCCGTTAATTCGGCTGGTTCAACAGGTTTCGATGGAGGCTTATCAGCGATGGCTGAAGTATTTACATCACATGAATCCTTGTCTGGGTAATTCACTCTTGCCGTTTTCGAAAGTTTCTTATAGTGGCGGTACGCCGCAATATTTTATAATAATTGATGAGTTTTTGCTATACATTACGTCTTATGCTTCCCGGTTCAATAATAGTGTCTTGTCTGACCATTGAGGGTAGCCCATTGCCTTGTATATTATTATCTCAGTTTCAAAAATAATACATAATAATATAATGTATCATTTCCTTAGGAGTAACTGGCTTACAAGGTCTTTTTTACAATGTACAAGATTATAGTTGCACAGATAGGTGATTTGCGCTTATATGCTTACGTATTCCATAGCTATATATGGTCATGTGGTTCTTTACCTTTGGTCGTTTGTTCGGCCTTGGCCTGTTCTCGAACGTTCTCTTGGTGGCCATTGTTTGAGTTGCCTTGTTGTTTAGCCTGTTCTGGTGATGGGTCTCTGAAGGAGGTCTTGCAACATACGGCGCAGATCTTAACGCCAGGAACGTTAATAAATGTGCAATGTATACATATCCACTGCTTGGAAGGACTCCAACGGATTCGGGCCGGTTCTGGGTCATTGTTTGTGGCTAACCCTGAGCCCGAATGACTAGACGGACCCGACGTGGATATACAACTTTCTTCGTCGAGATTTCTCTCTGTCGAAAACACTGTTCGAGACGATTGACTTTCTGCTGAAACTGTTTCCTCCGCGCTTCCGCTCACAGTCGATTTTGTCGCAGTTTCAGTGCCCTCAATGTCACGTGACGACGCTTTGATGCTACCAGTACCACCCTCATGACTTTGGCCATCAGTCGCTAATTTCCCGCTTAGCTTCTTCTCGGGTAACCGAGGCGCGACAGACGCACCCCATGCTGTGTGCTCAGGTATCTTAACCACCGGCTCAGGCTTTGGTGACAATTCAAGTGGACGCTGTCTTGGCGACGACATGGGCTGTGAACTATATAACCGGTTCCCTGGCACCTGCTCGAAGTTATCTTTTGTCGCTCGTTCGTACGAAGGCCGCCTTGGCCCGACAGAGCTTTTTCTGTCCTTTTCTCTGGACCTGGATTCTCGAGTTGGTGGTTGCTGCTGTCGAACACTGCTCGGATCAATGTACTCCTCCATAGTGAGTTCGGGTGACGGTGAGTTACGACCGGATCTTTGAGGAGTCCTACTACCTTGGCGGCCGTTGTCACGATATCCTTGATTGCTATGACGTTCCTCGTCAAAGTCTACATCGCTATAGTCTTTAATGTTGGAATCTGACGCACCCAGGGACGATGCCCGAGTAGAGGAGGGCCGTGGTGAACTCTGTCTGGAATCCTTGGAGTCACCTGTACGCTGACCGCGTCGTCCATCTGAATGTAAGGCAGAGTTGCTACAGCTGAAATGAGCGCTGTGGGGACCTGGTACAGAACGATTGTTGGATTTCTCATCATAAAAGTGGAGACGTCTCAATAACAGGTACATTATTATTATGTAACAAAAAAGTGAAATTCACGAACGGCACACGTACGCACATTTAATTCAGGACTGTGCCTGCATATACCTTTTACGCTAAAGCACTCCTTAGGCCGTTGAGCCAAAAACGCCCTCAAATTACTCAAGGATTTAAGAATGAAGCTATTCGAGGTTACACCGATTATAACTCCAGGGGGGGGGGGAAGGGGAATGAGATAAAAATTAATGTTTATAGCACGCTGCGGCTTAGAAAATAATAATTATAATGATATTATTTGCTGTTTGTAATACTAGTGCCCTCCCACTAACCAGGTCAAGTTTGTCTTCACATATATATAATAGCGTCAAAAATAGCGAGAAAGTTTATCTACATATTAAAAATTATGAAATTTTTGGTGTGTAGGGTTAACTTGACGAGAAAACTCTGTACGAAAAACGCCTGAAAGCTCACTGACAAAAAAAACTATCCCGGTGACCTACGGTGCAACTGGGGCGCAGTCTGCGCCACAGAATAGAAAGCTCGCTCCTGGAAAACCCGCCTGTTTAAATATACTATTTACCTGCGCATGTCACTGATATTAGTTGTGAGCCGAATGATTCAGGGATAGTTAAGCGGCGAGATTAACAAACTGTTTTTGAAGTTTTTCATGCCTAGCTGCTCGGACTCGACGAACATGACAGGTGTGTTTATATTTACCATGAATGTTTCTGCTCGAAAACGTCAGCCGAAAATCAAGTAACGAAGAAAAACGTTTCTATAAATCACTATTGTTCTTAGTGATTTAATTTTTATAATCTTTTTTAGTCTGGTTTAATTTAATATTTCAAGCGACATCATAATGCAGACATATCAGAAGAAAACCAATACACTGATTCATACCCGGACCTAGGCCAATGGGACCAATGATAACCCAGCTTGTAGAAAAAGCTGTCCTTAGCCTAGCTTTGCGAATTTAATAAAATGCGTACATAGATTGAAAGCGATTCCGCCTAACGTCGGTAAAACCATTGGACGCGCATATTTAAAAAAATTTAGAATCGTGGGCTCCATACACTAAATTGATAAGCCATCGCTCTGTATATTATAACAACACGTTAAATTTGAAAGATCAAAAAGAGACAAAACCTGGTAGGCGATCTCTCCAACTAGATAAAACTAAACCTCAATTTTAAATTTTTGGTTATAAACGGCAGATTTAGACTTTTTTAACTATTTACTGCGATTGGGAAGACCAACCGGTAAAATCGTTTACCAGGTATTTATCTAGGATAACCTAATCATTGTAATGTACGTATAGCTGCGCTAAACTAGATAATTTGTTCTGTCACGTTATGCCACATTAATTCCACTTATTTCTCCCATAATTCCCCTTCCTTGCAAAACTCAAATGCCATTCGAGTTCGGCAAAAGAGCAACATTGTTTTGTCGAAATAAATTTAGCTAGACACATAGACCATTTGTCTTCCTCCATTGCGATAAGCACAAGCTTACATGCTCATATACACGAGAGAGTAGCTAAGTAGGTGCTACAATGGCCGCCGGCTTGAGAAAGTGAGTAACCACTGCTAATTTGTAATGTATTCGAGTTTTATGTTGATGGTCCCCTTACATAACCATACGTGCCGCAGATATATGGCGACATATATTGGCTGGCCCTGAAAATGTGACAAGATACAATACCACGACGAGATTAAGCGTTTAGGAAAAGCTGGCCGGATTAACTTACTTTGTCTGGGAATGTCTCCCTGTGAAGGTTGACGCGACACCTGGCGGCTATCAGAACGCAAACGTGATGACCTCGGGATGAAGTCGATGTCAGAATCTGACGTTTCTGTGTCAGCTCCCATTGGACGCTGTCTATTACGATTATGATAGTACCTGTCAAAAAGTCAATTTAGTCTTTAGTCCATTTAACTTTTCTAGTTACGTACCTTATATAGTGTGTATCTCTAGCAAAACTTGAAGCAACGTTCTCTGGTTTTTTTCAGCCCAGAGACAGATATCTTAACAACCTAGCTGGTCAGTTCAAGCAGCAGTGCATTTAGTTCGCTCTTTATTTCGCCATTAGTGCGTATGATACCTAAAAAAGCGGTAAGCCGAGTAAGATCTGTCGAGGGTAAGCAGTCGCTCTTATAGTCGCCCCGAATAGGGAAAGATTTAGCGAGACGTCGTTCAAGATGGACAAGCAACTTTGCATTTAGAAACCCAATAGCTATGTAGAGTATACCTTATAAACTAGGTTCATTCATTGGATCATGCTAATGTATTCGTATGTATATTGTCGAGAACTAGCTAATTGTAAACTAACCAAATTGCCCTGTTGGCATCCATGTTGCTGAGCTGGGCGTTTGGATTTATTGGTGGCATGGTGTCGACAGACTGTAAGTTTCGCCCAGACCCCCATTGGTTGCCTCCAGGGTAGCCCCCGAACGGTACCATACCCATCGGATGTTCGAAGGGCGCAGCCCCTAAGACAAGACGAAATGTAATTAACATTTTATTATATATGTTACACATAAACATATATAAATCTATTTCGCGTTCCGTGACTATTCATAACCACCTAATACTAACGTAACAGAAAAGCAGAGCTCAAACAAGTCTGTTGAATCTCTGTTTAGAAAATGAGATATTAGGGTGTCGAACCCCTTCACACTGAACTAGATATTATCATAAGCAGACGAATAAATTCAAAATCAAAAACATACTTAGCACTCGTTTAGTATTCAAACGAGAAGGGAACGTTCATAAATTTGCGTTAAATCATCTTACACGTGGTCTGAATCAACTGCGAGATGACCAAAGGCACAACAAACTGTGATGGATTTCAGATCGTTGACACGAGTCCAACGACTACCGATAGACACGACATATTCCAGAGCGTCTGAAAGTCCATTAATCAGGTAGTTCAAATTCTACCTATCTTTTTATTCTTGTTGCACAGATAGATACAAAGTACCTAGTAAATATCTAAATAAATGTACTTTCTATTTATTCACACATTTTTAGTTACATCTATGCACTCGAACTGTACAAAAAAAAAAAACATGCGGCAAAACCTATTCATTTTACGCTGCCAATCATACAGTTATTATTATTTATTAAATTATAGCTGAATATAAAGATAGCATTTGAACTCTCCGATTTGTAATAGAAATTACATCAGTAACGAAAAACATTTATGCAGAAAACTTTCAAACGCTCTGGAATATGTCGTGTCTATCGGTAGTCGTTGGACTCGTGTCATTGATTTAAAATCCACTACAGTCAATCATTTCATAGTTGAGTTTGTAGGACGATTTAACGCTATTTACTATTATTATTATTGTACATGTACTTCACTCGATATCAGGGGATACCATCTATCTCATACTATAATAGAGAGAAATCGTCGCGTATTAGCTATACTTTGGGGATCAGCTTTAGCGGGACTCACTAGGTGCTTGCGGGTACATCATGGCGCCCCATTGATTCGACGCAAAGCTTTGGCAGCGTCGCATAGAGCTCATGCGCGGATCAACCATGCCGTTTCCCATAATACCGCCCAGACCAATTTTCGTGCTTGATTCCGTATCGGTGTCCTTTCCTTCACCTTCCGCCGACGAATTAACGTTTGAAAATGACCCGCTGGAACCTATCGTTAGCCATTAATTGCGGTCTGAATCCGTGTATAATAATACAATGCTTTTTTGATTGCTTTATCTCTATAGAGGAAACTATCACAACTAGTTTCTATTAGTAACAGAAACACCTATTGAGTACATGATTCCTACTTCAGAAGTGAAAATACTGCCGCACCTTGACAAATGCTATAAGAACCCTATTGAATTGATTTCTCTAGCAGTTCGAACGAATAGATCCTTTTTGTTCGTAGGCCTTTGTGTAATAATCTTGACACCCGAATGTTACGAGAAAATAGCGCCGCCACATTTGATCTACATTTCGTAAGAACGGTTGGCCTGAGATGATCGCATCAATTTTCTAATAAACTTCCTTAGTCAAAACAGTCTGTTTGACAAATGATTCCGTTTGCCTCTTAGCAGATCTGCGTCATATCGATTGTTACCATGCTATTTTAAAAGCGCCTTTTTTCGAAGACCTACTGCCAGCTTCTGTCCTGGTTACTGCTGGGAAGGCCCATAGCTCTGAATTACTTTGGCACATGCAACAAATCTGTTTAGGTAATTTCGGCACAAGGCTTCTCTCTCAGATCTTTGTATCAACAGCCCCTATTGCTCCATTCGTCCTGGTTGAGAACCTTTATACTTGTACCTACCGTCGATTCTTACACAAATTAAAGATAAAGCCAATGAAACATTTGTTTCTTTAAATTTCTCCAGATATGTGAGCCGATTCTCAACGCAGAGATTAGCCTAACGTATGTGGGTTACAATGTAATACAGTCAAACCTACCGGCGTACCCCCAAGGATGTGGCATCATTCGGGGGTCACTGAGATATGACATGCTTCCGTAAGGCACACCCGGCATGTAGGAATATGGAGCTCCGTATGGGAACACTCCGAACGGACCGAAAGGTCCTACGTAAGGAATGCCCTGGCAAGCCTGCGGTGCCATACGAGACAAGTCCATCATTGACTGATGACGGTTCATTGATGCTCTGTAGGCCAACAAAATAATAAGGCAACATGATCAGTCGACGTAGAGTTCCTTCAAAATCGTTACGGTAGTAACACCGACATGATCAAATCGTGAAGGCTCAGTTAATGACCTGACTTTTTATGTAGGAACTAAGGGCGGTTTGTAATAATCTGAAATCAATTTGGTTAACATATTGCCTTAGGTGTAGGATGTCTATTTGGGTGATTAGATCGAACAAGATTGCAATTGTTAGGATTTCAAGATTTAATTAATTTACTCACGTTTGTGGGTTATTATACATCCTGTTGACTTGAAGATTGCTTGCCAACAAACCATTATCTTCCCAATCAGACAAATCCTGTGTGTCAATAAAGCAACCATTAAGGTACACATATATACATACACTCAACCTAAGTCCAATAACTTCATCTGTCTATTGTAAAGTAGAAGACTTGGCGGTCGGTTCGTGTTGACCCTTTGGTTGAAATCCATAGCCCTTAGTTCCACCGCTTTTTACAGAATCATAATTATGAGCAGAACGGAAATTTTCTCATTAGGTAATAATTAATGTTTTGAGACAAATAAAAGATTTCTGGAAGTTCGCAAGTTGTTGAGATGTGGTGCTTTTCCGGCAGAAGGTGGTTCAGTGCACCAAAAATGTCTGCTCCAAGTACTGCTTTATTGGATGGCGTCACTTCTCAAACATCTTGTATATTTGAACTTCGAGCCTTACGTGGAACACGGGAAGTCATACAACAATGATGACCTTCGGCTTAATCTTCCACAGCGCACAAAGGAGTAGCTTCTAAGCAAAGCTTGACCAGGACTGGACTGAATAAAAATAGAAGCCAAATTATTATTTCGCTTAATGATCTGCGCGGTTGCTCAAAACCCTTCGTTTTTTCTACACACTTTACTTGTAAGAACTCCTTTCCTCAATATAACATTTTAACACAAACGGTTTTTAGTTTCCCTCATCGTTCTTATGCATTTTCTTCTTCTTGTACATACAATAAAAGTACATTTTCATGAACCTTCCTCGAAAATAATCACAGCTCACTGTTTTTTCGGGCAATTTATTTTCTATCGGGCTACGAACTATTTTGTTTAATGTGTAGCAGACCTAAACAAGTACTATTTGTTCATTATACTAACCCTGTTAGCATTGATTCTTGCGAGCGATGAAGTACTTCCGGCCTGCCGATTATGAAGACATTCAAATGCATTTTTCTTTGGCTCTTCGCCGCTGCCTGAAGAAGAACCCGAATACCAATCTTATTAACCTAATAAACTATGAAATTGTTTATCGACTTTTCAATGAACAGTTGTACTCGATAATTCAACGCTCACAATAATGCTGTGGACGACACATCGTGCCTTCGTATTATATGCCAAAGAGTATGCCCATTGAAGTACTCTACACGATGAAGTTCATCATCTAGATAAAAATTAATAAATTACACTATTCTGTAGCATTGATGCAATAGTCATCATGTTTTTTCACGATCTTCATATTGTTACTACGAGTACAATGCGTCTATCGATAATAAATGTTTTGATTGCTTAATGTAAACCGAAGGCCTACGAAGATCTAGCAAATGAACAAAGGGTAGAACCATAGATCCCTACAGTTATTTGCAAGAACTATAATCCGCTTCCCGAAGGTTTTTTGTCGTTATTATTTCAAGAGGCAATGGATGCCCGGTGTGCCTTCAGCCTTCAAATCCTACACGCATTATGCATTGGCTAATTAAAATACAATAAAACTTAGGAGGCTACAAGAAGCGCGAGAGGTCATTTGTCTCACTAATTTATTGACAGTGTAAAAGGTATGAAACGATACGAAATGCGTTGCTTTGCAAAACGTCGTAACACTGTAGACATAGCGTCAGAGTTCTTCACAACTTCCCTGCAAACGACTGATAAAAACGATCACAGTGCCTTTCTACTGGAGGCATTATCTGATCCTCATATATTTCAAATCCTATTAACAATTAGAAAAGTGTACTTTCATGGATCCGTCGACAGGGACGTCATAAAGCGTATGAGCCTTGATCTGTCACGATTAATTCAGCCATTTTTTTTTTAATTACGTATAAAAGCTAGAATAGTTTTTGGAAATCCTCTGTCCTTTTCGTTTTAAACTGATAGAAAAAACCACAGTTGTAATAACTATACGTTGTATATTTGTATATCTTGACCTCTAACAGTGGTGCGTTTGATTGACTGACTAAAGCAATCAACCCCTGAAAGATAATAATGTCGAAGTTCATTTACGTGAAGCTTCTCTCTACAAGCTAAATAGAATGGCGTAATTGCACGACAAAAACAAATAAAATTGATGGTGTTGGTAGTCTTTTGAACTATTATCCCCCCTACGAATCTGTGACGCGCGTCGAATGTAACTATTGCTGGAAAACACAGGATTTCGACACCTCACTGCTGCATGATTATACTCCTTCACTCAACTGCAGTTTTCAAAACCCTGCCGCGTTTCGCCTGCACTCGCGCTATAGCAGGGTAAAAGTCGTAATAACAATATTCACTTCTCCCCTTTTCTATCGTCAATACCATGGGAACTTGCCATACAGAATTACTAAAACAAATAGAATACCCATCGCAGGGAGACCGAATCGGCGTGAACCATAAGACGAACGTGGGCTGAAGTTCGTAGCCCAGGTCGACACTGCTTGGCTGCTCTGTCTGAAGCAGCCCGGGCATTTATTTGGAGGGCATCACAAATCTCTTATGTATTGATGTTGCCAACTGAGTTCCATTGCGCCGTATTCATTACCTCCGACAAAATGTGACTATGACAACAGCTAGGTAACCGATATACATGTAACAGTAGTGTCTGGTGCCTAGGCAAAAGGCGTCACTTACGGAAGGAAGATGGGCTGGAGGGCGTTGCCTCGCCGGGCGGAGATGGAAGCGGTCGGTTCTGGATGAAACGCTTGAGGCTGCCCAGTTTCGAAGAGATCGTCCCGCGTTTTTCGATCTCCTCGGGTATCGCAACTAGAATAAGTTAGCAGATTGCACAACTTTTAGTTATGATGAAAAAATAAAAACGTTCAACTCAATAGTGCTTTCGTCTTAGCGATGGAATGCCTATTACAAATTGGAATCTACACTGGACTTGACATGCGAATTGTTGCTCGTCTAGCATGACACACCGATTCGATAGGTCTTCAGGATACAGTATTACTAATTCTTCGTATATTAGAAATTGTTCGCGCCGTACGCGTTCTCTTCTGTTATTTTATTTCTCATTGAAGACAATTCGATTTGTTCACGGAAACACAATAGTTCCATTCGAGTCTACACATAAAACGAACGCGTGCGCTGTCTACCTTCCGACTTTCCCCGCATTAGGTTGGTCAGCAATGAAAATGGTTTCTTTTTTCTTGGCGGAACATTTGGCTGCGACAGAGGCTGCTGTTTCCAAAACGGGGTACTGGCTACAACAGTATGACCAGACATCTGTGAAACTGTAGCGGACGACGATTGAGGTGGCCGAACGGAGGCGTCATGTTGTTCCACGGACTTGCGTAAATGTGATTTCCGTTTTGGGTGTCTGCAAGTGATTTAGAAGTATAGGATTAATATTAGTTGACATTATTTTCTATTACTGCTTATAGAGAACTTGGTGCTTCAATACAACTTGGACTTGTCTTGTTTGTATGTTGAAAGCTGCACACAGTTTTGATTACGAGCTTCGATCCTTGCGCTCAAACTAAATCGCCGTCGCAGAAATGCCTTGGAAACCGTTCGAGTATAACTGGGTTTAGAAAAATGAACAAATAGATCAGCTATGTACATATTTGTAGCTTGGTTTCATCTCATACACGTTGCACTCTACCACTGCTTATTGGAAAGTTTATACGTATGATAGCCGAGAATGCATGTACACACAGACGAGGCATAAATTAACTCATGATGGATTACGATTTTCCAAATTAGACGGCTCAATGGATAATCAATAGATAATTTCAAAGGTTTTCGATATGCACCCACTCAATTCCGTAAGTAGATCCTTGTGCAGGTACTTGCTCCCGAACACATACCTCAAGATTGCCTTCATGAAGTCATTTAACTGTTAATGGGGCTTCATTCAAACTTATGCATTTCGTTGATTGCAGCGACCTAGGCCGATATGTACTATACAATATTTTGAGTAAATTTGGAAAAAAATGAAAGAGCGCACATCGTTTGTAATAAGAAAGATTTTTTGGGAAAAAAATAATAAATACCACTCGTTAGCCCTGGTTCGTATTTCGTCACTATGATCCTATTAACGAAACCTATCACGAGTATCCTATTAGCGCAACTGAATTGAGATGAAGAATTCTTGATCTGTTATTCTATATTAATCAAGCTGTCCACTGGGAGAAGATCGACAGCGCTAAGGGGCAGAAATGCGCTGGAAGATCTGTATGTTCGCAGTTCCTTAACTAACTGGAGGCAGGGTAGAATTGTCTCTACGACGGATCAGTTCATGCAGCTGCCTTAGACCCTTACATACATTATGTCCTCTAGATAAAAGAAAAAAAGGTTTCGGTAAATTCTGATAAGCCTTTATAAGACATGGAAATTTTTAGAAAAGCCACTAAATACTTATCATAATCAAATATCATTCAAGCTTTATTCGAGTAAATAAACACGGGTAAACAAATAAAAATTAGGTGGCTAATATCAGTTTTAGGTGTTAGTGCTTAAAGTGTGTAACGCTAAAAGAAGATGAATTGGAACGGCAACCTTCATAATGTGTTTTTAATCACCTCTTCATAACAGCACTTACCTTTTTTATTGAAAAATATCAAACATGATATCGTACACGTATCGTTTTTCAAATATGGCGTATCTATCTATATTCCTGTGATCGTTGCCACTCATTAAGAATAAAGAAAAAAGAGTCGAAAAAAAAGAGAAAAAAGAGAAGGATTGCATTTCGGCTTCTTTGAACATCTTACAGCGCGTACGCACACTCCAGAATACGGTTATATGGATATTAGATGAAATTTATTGTTGGCTAAAGGTATCTATAAGGCAATTGAAGTCTATTCCGAATGTCTAAAGCTTTTTAAGATACAAATTTCCGCATCTATAGTGACCGATCATCCGCACTGTATTCTCAAAAAAAATGCATAGATAGAAAAATGCATAGACATTTATCAAAAAGGTCTGTTTTTTTCCATATGGCATATTCTGTACACGGAGACCGAAATAATTTCTCGGCTTAATGAAGATTATCTTACCCTGCTTCTTGCTGTAATTGGTAGATTAACATCCTAGTGGTAAGGGATCTGAGTGAGCGTCGTTTCTGGGTAGTGCACTGTAACCTTTTTCCAGCCAAAGTTAGTGGTGTTTGCTACAGTGTGGTTAATAACTCTACACTTTTTATAGAGGTTATATTAACCCAAAAAATATCTCGCCTTATATATATATATATGGTTACTGAATAAGTGTTTGTTATCTGTATAATCTACAAAAGGCAATGCATGTTCATAATTTGGGTTTTTCGGTTGAGGGTTCCCAGCTTCTGTCTAGGTTGATAACCTGGGAACCAGGATGATATTAGCTATACTATACTGAACTTTTAACAGATCCTTTAATAGAATACATATTTTATCATAGATGCGGTGCTACTTTGCAGACGCACGCATGGTGCATAAAAAAGAACAGCTGTTTTTCCGCCCCAGAGAACTTTTTATCGGGTTGATCGTTTTGGGTACTTTGTGCTTGAAAACTTTAAAATGGCTCTCCATATAAACACTGTTCTCTGTCACAACAGATCTGAGCTGCCTGAATACGCTTTTCTCGGAAAATATTGTCTCAGAAAAGCTGTATATACAGCATCGCTTAGAACTTATATGGCCATAATGAAAAATTCCCACATCTCTACCAAAATTGTTTCCGACATTTCTAGTTCTTATATTTTCGACTTTCTATTACATTATTGACAATTAATATCGCCTGAAAACATATTAGATGGCACGTTAAGTCATGCGCACGTTTAAGCAAGGTTTTATATGGAAGCATCCGGAACGTTTGCTTAATAAATTTAAAGACGCCTGGCGTGCTGTTGTTTCCAAATCGGGCCCCTATATATTGTTCGTTTTAGCTAGAAGCCAGCAGTTTGACGTGGTGCTCCACGGCAGTGCTAGACGTAAAATGTTTTAACGACTCGTTAAAACGTCTCTCGTACCACTAAATCCGATCGTCCTAGTTAACAAAGTATTTTGCATTTCCCTTATATCTACCTAACTGAATCTTTCCAAATATTTACTGAAGATCCCATTATATTGATAGATACCATTACGCAAATGTACAGCAAACGGATAGAAACAACGAGTCAGCCATTGTTTACCTATTGTGTTATATTGCTAGCGCAGTATCTTTCACGGTTCATTTCAAGGAGTTTAGTCAGCGCAGTTTATTGCTATGTATGTCATTTATGTTAATATGCAGATTTTTTGCTTAGGGAATAGTTGTATTTTGGCATCTCTATATTGAACCTTTTCCAAAAAAAAGAACTCATGCAACATAGGTTTGGCAAGTCTCTTAAGGCACGGTTTGAATACAACCCAATAGGAGCTCATGCAAGTCTATAACAAATTTCGGACGATCTGTCTCAGAGGCGGCCTAATCGCACATAATCAAATTTTTACTCTACTGCCTTGACTACGTTGATTAATCCTTCACCCCTTCATTGGATGCACTGGATGGTTCTTACCGGTGGAAAATATCGTCGCATTGAAGACAGAACACTTGGTTTTCACAGCGGTCGCAACGAATAGCTGCTCGTGTTGACTTGCACAATTCACATTGGTATTCAGGGGCCGCACCCCCAGGGCTCACACCAGCGGGAGGCACGGGAGGCGCAACCGTTGGTCTGCGAGTCGATGTACCTGACCGCTGCATAGCTTGAATGTGCGTCGAATTTTTTAATTTAGCACAGCTAGTCTCTTAGGCCGGAGCAAATAGAATTAAGATGATATTCTATTGAAAAAAATTAGCTTTAAGACCCCTTTGGGGCATATCTAACAAATAGCCACTGCACTGGATATCTCGACGCTATGGAAACCCTTCCTCACGGCATAACCGAGCGCAACCAATATACTTATTACGACACAAGCTGCAATACAACAAAAGTTAGTGACGTTTTTCTCACATTCGGGTCATAATCACGAGACTCGATTTGCTCTCAGAAACAACCACAATATTCTTGTGCGTCTGACGTCGACTCGTGGTTAAACGACAGCCCCCCCACCGTTCACCAAACACGCGCACAAAGCTAATCTTACGAAGGTAAAAGTGCAGTAAGACAATTATTGTAGGCCTAAGCAATAGGCGCTCAGCTACAGCAGCAGGCCGGAAGCAACCTAATAGCAATTTCCGATTTGCAGTCCACGTCCAGCAAACCGGGCGTTGCCGCGGCTGTCTCGAGGTCGGTGTCGCCACGCTTCTTCCTCAGACTCGCACCGCTAAGCCGATCTTGAGTCCTCTTGCCTACTACCGGTAGTGCTGCAGCCGATAAGCGTGACTGCTATGCACACACGGGCAGAGTGCGAGCTAGCCTAACTTGAAAACATGGACCACAACTACAGAAACACGACAGCAGCTGTAGCAACAGCATTATCACGCTCACTTGTCTGCCTCTAAAGGGTGTCTGTGCAAATGAGGACCGGCCAGCCGGCCGGCCGGCCTGAAGCAGACGTAACCAGGCAGCTACCGTTACGCGCAGCGAGTATTAGGCTACTGTGTCACCACCATCATTCGCTGCAATGCAGCGTGCGCGCTGTTCAGCGTTTCATAAAGCCTTCTTAAAAAAAGAATAACAGACCTAAGGCGGATGAAACACCTATGAGCAGAGCATGGCATTCGAAGACGCTACAAGAAAAAGCACCGAAGGCACCATTCACCATAAACTGGTGCTGGTCGAGTTAGTCGAGTGACAACTGGCATTGATTGTCGAGTGTTATATGATGGTAGCAGTAATATAGAACAGAGTCATCCGCTCTAATAATAGTATGGCGTCCCGTTTCGTCTGACTGTGTGACTAAGCCGCACAGGCAGACGACTAAAACGGCCCCTTTTAATGTGTGTTATGGGCAAAAAAGAGAGTCAGACGCGCCTTAATAATCTATAACTCAACGCGCTGAAATGAAGTAATCAAGTATAGCTTCTAAGGCAATGATGACTCGAAGTTGGGGCCTTCATATCCCTTATTGATAGTGAGTGTTATGTTTCCTGAACTGGTTGAACTCTATAGCGGATCGAATTAGTCCTCTTCTGAAGATTTTTTTTGCCGAGCTACCACACATGTCAAGTTGATTTTTTGAAGGGAGAAACCAAATATGGTAAACCTATTATCACAAACCTATGCATGTATTAATATTACTTACTAGTTGTTGTTATGGTAAATATAGTACCGCCTCGATTCTATTCCGTTTTATTATTTCATAAAACGTAAAACAAGCAGCAGCTACTACCTATTTTATTACTTAATTATTCTTGTTCTATGCGAAACTCAGTTGTCACCGAGAGAGCTATTTACTGTCATGTTCGTCTGCTAAAAGCTCTACCTTGAAAGACACACATAATGGTCAACTGTATTCTTATTTCCTTTTGTTTTATAGGTTATTTTTGTTCTATATATACACACGAGCTAATATACAATAGAAGTTTGCTAATGACCAGCTTTGGATAATGACTTCGTCGGTACATGAACGCTATATGGTTTTTTGACTACCGATTTAAGACGACTATAACTTTCCCTCTTCTTTAAAAACTCAAACACTTTATTCAATTAAGAAAAATGCATCGAAAAACATATGGGTCGTTATTTCCTCCTCTAGACAAACAGCTGGCAGGGTTTCTCCTCAGCATATTGTATGAGGGCACGCTTAGGATAAGATATTTTTAGAACAAGCTTGAACAGCTCTCTTCCTGTGGCATAGCCTTGTGATAACAAATGATTCAATAGCATGGCCGCTGCTATACTCTTAGTGCTAGTGAAGTTTGATTGACGAAATCAAATGTTTTTGCCTCAACTGAACGGATACACATGTCTGCGATACTAATTTTAAACAGTGTGACTGTTGCTGTTATTTATATTGTATAGCAAGCATTAAGACTAAATCGTTCCGTATCTCCTTTTTTTATATTTACATCGAATTTTAATATTAAAGGACGTGCAAAACTACTTTTGGCAGGACTGACATACACCTAAAAAGGCATCACCATTTTTACATAAGGAACTGTCTTCACTAGTGTGCTCTACTAGGACAAGCTGAGATAATAACATCTTCAATGAGACAAAAATAGTCTATTCTTGAAATACATTTGATAGCACGTTTTCTCCACAGTCCACAACTCCATTTCTCCACAACTCATGCCCTTCAACCAGAATATCTGTTAATCAATATTACGCGTCGATACTTCAATCGTTCTCATAAGTAGCCCTCGTTTCTAAAGTTCATCTTTGATTGTTCAAGATAATAGGTTTCCTACTTCAAGATTTTTCACACTATCGCGAATGATCAGGGTCATCAACATTCCAACCTTGTCAGACAATTGCTCGAACAGAAACTAGTTTCACGCAATTTGCCTGTCACCAACAAACATATCATAGAAAAGGCACGCATCACGATCACCTCGGTTGATTTTCTACGTATTGTTATGTGTCATGATACATAATAAGAGTAAACCGCATTTTTATATGAACTTTTATATGAACCGCAATGAAATGAAGGTAAATTAATCAATTTAAATAAGTGAATAATTTTGTATGGGAAATAATCTACGAAGAATGATGAATGCCACTAACGAGCACGATTTAGATACATTGAAAATGTGGCACATGTTAAAAATCAATTAGTACTCTGAAAATTATGCACTAACATTTCATAAGGCTTTCAATATTTGCCCCACTTTACTGATAACTTCAAAGCTAGCCTCAAGCGAGCGTAACTCACAGCATTTATGGACACTTAATAAGTATAGTTATTAACAACTGTAATAATATTGCTCGATAATTTTGCGCCGTATACATGTGAGATTACCTAGTTCCTCGATTTGATGGTCTCCTAATTCTCTGTCCTGCTTGACCAATGCCTCCGAGTGTCTCTATTTATTATTTTAACTGGAGACGACATTGTCTAAATAGGTAGATAATTGATGCTTTGACGTTGGTGCAGTAAATCGGACAAGTGTATTTCGGCGGTAGACACATTCTTAGGATCACCATATTATTCCGCCATTGAATTGGTTGCATAATGCTAAAAAGGACAGGATTTTGTCCAAAGACGAATAACTCTTGCGTGATTTAATAGCTGTTTCTCCTGCTGCTTATCCTTCATAAAGTTGTTCTGTTATCGCTGGAAGACATCGAAACTTCGCCTGTTTTAGGCCTAAAATATCAGTGAATTCGACGACGTTTGTAAACCATTTCCATTAAGGATTAAATGTAAAGCTATCATATAAAGGTTTCCCATGCTAAAGGACCTGACTCCACCATAAAGAAATAGTTGAAGGAGAATAATCATTTGCCTTCGTATTCCGATTACTAAAATTGCTTCTGGGTTTAGCTGAGTTCGGCGAATGTAACCTTTGTGGTACCCTAGGTAGAACTATCGTTTCAAATTAGTTAGACTTATTTGCACGGAAATTTTTCAACTTCCCTTTATTTATTGTCTTAGCTATTTTTTCATCATGGTGCATATCCTTCGAGACATCCTGTCAGATTGTTTAAGGCAGCAAGAAGAGTCAGGAGAATAGCCGACGAAAATAAAATAGAAATTGACGTCGACTCCTGCAGCTTTTACCTACCATATATTGCCGGTACAATGTAGAAGTCAAATAGAGAATTCGTATGATACGATCGCCTGTAACGCGTCCTAAGAGAGTTGACGTTAAACTTGTTAAAAATATATGACGTTCGTTTTTTCTGTACGGAGGGTACAGATAACCCACAAATTCACAAAATGTATACAAATATAAAGCAAATAATAGAAGCGACAAGCTGCGTATCAAGTCGCTACGCAACGGTTTCTTCTAGAAACGTCTTTCCACTCATGATTATTCATTGATGTATGGAAGAACTCTGAGTTAACATCGGTCAACCTTTTCTGTCCGTAAAATCTGATAAAGTGATGATTTTTCCTGAGTCCAGGACCGGTTTAAGGAGGTGGCATGAACTTTGTCCAGAGATAGGAGATATGCTGCAAGTGGTGTTTTCCAGTACAACCGCATGCCGTGCAATTTCAGCGGTGTTGCCTTTATCTTGAAAGGCTCAACGCTGTTTCCAATAAGGAATCTTGTGCTTCTTGTATCGACGTGGCGTACAAAAGCGCTTCGCGTACTTTTTCTTCGATATTTGCTCCTAAGGGTGCCTTCGATGTGTTCGCTGTCACTTAGAAAATTCAGGCCAAGGAATATGTACGAGATATATAGCAAGATTCGTTAGTCCCCATAAGTATAGATAGCCATTCATAAACGTCTAGCCCCACCCATCTGCTCTTTGTTCTTACAATATCCATTCATTTTATAGCATCCGGTCGTCTATGCAGAAAAACCTGATATACCCTACGGTGTGAAGAAACACGGGCTTTCAATTTATCAATGATAATAAGCCTCAAAGTCATTGCCCTATAAATAATGGTATAAACCTTTGAAGAGCGTGGGCGACGTTTCCCTAGCCTGATCACCATTTGAAGATTTCGTCACAGTTCTGATCAGGTAGATCTCAGTGATACGTGCTATACGAAAATATAAACAACATAGAGCTGTTCCTTAGAGAAATATATGCAGGTTTATCGTAGGAATTTCCTTGGTAAAATATAAAGAAGATAATTCCTTTATATTTTATCAAGCAGTGATACGATAAGCAGAGATAGCTGTTCAAGGGTTTGCTATCTCAAACACATAACCTACCGTCGGCACTACACAGCTTCGCTCGTTTGCTATTTTTTGTTGTACATGCACGAACAGAACGCTTTTAAAATTACAAAAATATTAATAAATACAATGAACTAAGTGCAATTCCTAAGTGAAAAGTAAATCGAAATAAATAGGGTTTGACTACCGAACCTGGTCATACGAGCATTTAGACATTCTATGAATAGGGGGGAGCAAGACGTAGAAACACCATTTGGTGGTGATGGTTAGAGTTCATTTCTGTTTCCGAGCTAATTCCTGCTTTCTTGGGAGAGGCTGTATATATATATATATATATATATATATATATATATGCATCCAATTGGGGCCAACGTACCAGGCTTTCTCAACGTCGCAAAAAAGTTAGCACCTCATCATTACGGAGAAAAGTACTCACTTCCGAATATTTAATAGCGGGTCATCATAGGATTAATATTTTTTTAACGGAAGTTGTTTGTGTTGCAGTCAACGTATTCACTCTTTCCAGAAGTGTTCCTTCCGAACAACTTTCTATAGCAGAACTATCGCAAGATGTTTTCAACCCTGTAATTACACTGAAGACGTCTATAGCTAAAAGAATTACACATGCCCTTACGATATATGGAGTAGTCCTTATATTAAGGCTGGTAGATAGAGCGGTTCGAGGAAAAGGTATCTTGGGTTGCCAGTTGTCGTGAGCTAGCTGACATGATAGCATCTCGGGCTCCGAACCACGCATACGGACCTACGCCAATTCAATATAAACAAACGTGTTAAAAATAAACGCAAGTTTAACCAATATATATGATAATCTATATGAATGTTTCGCTAGAATACGGTACATCAGTCAACACCGATAAAATCAGAGTTTGCTGAATCCGATTATCCTCGTTTCTGTATATCTGATGAATGAGACCTTTCCACTTGAGTTACATCTCCTCAACAAGATTATTAAATTTACTGCACGTACGGTGACATTTGTACGTACCCACT